ACTCCATCACAATATGGCCAAAAGTATGTACACCCCTCCTAATTATTGAGTTTAGGTGTTTTAACCACATTCATTCCTAACAAGTGTATAAAATCAAGTATATAGCCATGCAATCTCCATAGACAAATATCAGGAATAGCAATGAGTCATACTGAAGAGCTCAGTGACTTGAAATGCGGCAGTGTCATCAGATACTACCTTTGCCACAAGTCAGTTCATGACATTTCTGCCCTGCTAGATCTGCCCTGGTCAACTGTAAGTGCTATTATTGCGAAAAGGAAGTGTCTAGGAGCAACAACAGCTCAGCCATGAAGCAGACTTACAGAGCTGGGGTACGAAGTGCTGAAGTGCATTAACAAAAAAAAAAAAAAATCACCCATAGTGCATCACAGCACAAGAGTTGAGTCTTGGAAGCTTCATGAAATAGATTTCTAAATAAGCCAAGCAGCTGCTCACAATGCCAAGCGTCAGCTAGAGTGGTGTAAAACATGCTGGAGGGAAACTCCAAATCATGCCAATGCTTTTGGAATAGGATATCCAACAGGTGTCCACATACTTTTGGCCATATAGTGTATATGCAGGGTATTTAAAGGCAAAATTGTCCACAAAGAATTTTTTTTCAGATTTAACACCTGCTTCTTATAACTACCACTGAAAAAATATCTGGTAAGTTTCTCTACAAGTAATCAATTCAATTTGAAAAACTTTGAATGACTTGAAAATTGAATTATGCAAAAAATACAGAAATATTGTCTGCCTTGAAGATTTTTGAAATCTTAATGCTGAAGTAGGCCTTGGGTCAAATATTTGCTTAGTTTATCTTGTTTTGAGTGCCTGTTGAATTATAAATAAAACAAACAAGTAAATATTCCTTAAAGATCAAAAATTGACCTTAGGTCAAGTGTTTATTTGACTTATAATACTGTTTAGTTAAAATGAGACCGTGTCATATGTTTGCGACAAAGTGACCAGGCAAAGTGACCATCTGAAAGCTGTAGCAGCGGTGTGCTAGCAACATGGTGGTAATTTACATAATTCCCAGTGTTAATGACTGACTAAAGAGCTACACTTTAATTACCACTAGACAAGGCATACGTCGAGTAGATAGCAGTCACGAAACTCGGTTCGAAGTCTAACGTGCAGACGTTTACTCTTGCAGTAAAAAACAGAATCCTAGAAATATGAATTTATAATCATAATAAATTATTTTTATGTGGGTCACCCTTGATGAGTGTGCAGGGGTGATTATAAAAATATACAATATCTTGATGAGATGTTTATAAACTGCCATTGTAAATTTAAAAAGATGACTAAATGATTCTGCCTATATTGCATTGATGCTCCTTTTTAACCCGTCCAGTATAGATGATAACAGGCCTGGTATCTAAACAGCTTTAAACCGTTCTGAATTCAGTAATTGGTCTCTGTACAAAATGTGTGGTAATGTTAGTGTTTCATAAACGTTCCCTATCTCAACACTTGATAGGCTTGTTAAGATAATTACCTATATTGTTTGTATAGCATTTACAGAGAGATAACAGATTGGGTACCTATGGTTTCTCAACCTTCTTCCACATTTACCCAGTGGAAGCTGTTACATGAAGTGGTGATAAAAGCATGGAGAATAGGCTTGTTTAAAGGGCCTATATCCCATAGTCCTACATCCTTATGACATTGGTAAGGGTTTATAAACAAGAGAAACATAAAAACAGCCATAATTCATTTTACATGACCATTTTTCAACTTATCTTTGTCCATTTGAATTAAACAGGCTGTCACTGTGCCTTTACGACTCATATATCATTGCCGCACAAAGAAAACCATGTATCTCCATTTTTGCCAATTTATATTTTTCTACATCATTTCAACACACCAGCTGCCCTTCACGAAAATTTCATGATGGATGGACCAATAGAAATGCTCTAAAATCACATAGAATAAAATCTCTTTACATTGACTTACATTGAAAGGTAAGAGTGTTTTTGTCTTCTCCTGTAAAGTTACTATTTTGGAGTTTTTATCTGGAGAGCGACGATATGTAAATGAGATCTTTCCCAATTGGTTGTCCTGTGTTGCACCTTACTTAAAAAAACAGTCCAGACACTAATACTCCTTTAGCTAAACTGGCTTACATACAGCTTGGTTTACATACATGGACCGTATGGATTGAGGAGTGAATATAACGTTTTGAAAGTTTAACAGTGTTTACATATTACCTCCAACTTTTATTACATTTTTTACTATATGGGCCCTTTAAGTAAAGGTGAAAGCAGTAATGAAAAGATAAAAATACATCAACATTTTTGTTCTTTTGCTTTGAGCTTGTTGTCATTTTTTAGTATTATTATTTTTTACATTGAATGTTCTATAAATCTTTATTCTGATTAGAAATGACTCATGTTGCAATATAGGTGAGCTTTGGCTAATTCCTTTCCACCTGACCACACTGAGCAGTGTTAGTGCTTCACTTAATTTTGACCTTAAATTTTTGGCATTTTATTCCACCATCAGCCCCTAAACTTTGTAGCTTCTTAAAATGATATTTGATATATGATATGATATTTAACTGAAGGACATGATATGATGGTAAATTTCATATCTGGATTATTAACATAACAAGACTCTAAATCTTCTAGCTTTGCATTCACTGGCCACTTTAAGAGAAACCTCTACTTTGTATGTTGCATGTTGCTGTTGTGCAGTTGGAGACTATAGCCCATTTGTTGCCAACCAAGTAGTGTGAGGGAAACTAACCAATGATGAATAGGATAGAGGGTGGCTGAGAAACAGGTGGGCTATAGTCTGTACCTGTACACCTATATAATGGGCCTTTAAGGTTTGTGGATCACATGAAGTGGCCATTGAGAGGAAGTGCAGGGGGAACATTTCTTATAAAGTGAATGGTGAGTATGTGCACTCGTTTCTGAGAATGTTTTGGCACCTTTTTGTGTCTTCTCTTCATGTTCAGCCCTTAATGCTGAAGTAAAAATCTTTACAGGTTAAGAGCTTATATAAACTGACTTTGTTGCGAATGTTTCCATCTCCTGCCGTAACTTAGGCCTTCATTCTGATGCAATCAGAAAAATATTGCAACATCTGAACCATGTTTTGTTAAGGCACAAATTATTCCTCACAGTCACTCCAGTGTTGCTCTGGAAATGCACTTTGGATTACTGTCCTGCAGTGAATTTTTCAGATTATTGTTAACATTTGTGGTGAGTATCTACGTTGTTCTTGTATTAAACTGTTATTTTCTATACATTTACTTCCTATATATTAACTGTATTTTCATCTTTTAACATTTCTAAAGCCTGAATTATTATTACTTCATGTTATAATTATTAATTTTAGAGCTAATGATACATTGATCAAGAGAAGCCTTTTACATGTACCTAAAGTTATTTGGTTATTAATTCATTTATTTTAATTAAATGTAGTGCAGTATAGAGCCTCAGATGAAATGTATGGTGCAGAACATCTAAAACTACAGAACTTTGGAAGTGGACTTTCTTTGATAATGGACATGTCATAGCAGATTTGGGGACAGAATTGGGGGGCAGGATCAGCAGTAGACCTGGGAAAAGAAGAAAGAATGAACTTGAATCAGACCTAATGACCACCATGTGATTATCATGATGTAGTCATATAAAAAGGACTAATTGAAAATAAGTTACTACATTCTCTATAGACAACATACTTCTGCACATTTGAATGCAAAATTTATTTGAGTTTAACATATTGGAAAAAAATTAGACATAAAAGGGGTGTCTAAACTATTGCAAACATCTATATGGCCACCCATTCTTTGATGAAGCTCACAAGCTACAGATTTTGAGACTGGGTTGCAGAGGTGTTACCTTCAGAATCCACTCTCTCTATCAGTAAACTTCAACTGTTAATTCCTCTTTACCGGTGCAGTTTGGCAAACATTGGCATATGTTGCATCGATTTTTGAGATTATTGCTCTTGACGAAATGAATAATTGCGCAGCTTTTGTGACCAATGCACCTGCAATTCAGCCATGGACTTTATTGGCTGATATTGTTGCTTTGAAAGCTCATCTATCAGATTGCTGACTGTCAGAAGTATTGCATATGATATGACCTGCCTGTGAAGCGGCTTAAGTCGTTTAAGTACTTTAAAGTCTTCATGTGGGGTTTTTGTTGTTTTGCCCAACATCATAGGTGTGACAATTAACTCAATTATCTCAGTTATCAATCAGTCCAAATAAAAGATTATAGAATAATTAATTAATATAGTTATATATTTGGTGCTTGCTTGTTTTATCCTCCTCTATAGCTATTATAATTAGTTGCCTTTTTATTAGGGCAATTAAACAGATTAATGAAAGGGGAATTAACTCATTCAGAAGCTAATTTACCTGCCTTTTCTTATCTTTACAGACTACAATACATAAAGGGTAAATCCATGACTTCTTCATTTCTGCATGATTCAATCAATGAGATGTCAATAAAGTAATTCAGAGAGGTTTGATGTGGGGGGGAAACCAGGGGTCTACAACGTAAATATAGCCAGTTTATTTAAGGTAAGATACTAGTACATCCAGAAATAACAAGGTATCTCCAGACAACAATCATCTGCATGAACCTCTCCTCCATGAATTTTTGAAATACGTAGTTTAGGCCAAAACCTTTTCTCAAATCTGCTGTAAAACAATGCCTCGGACATAGTCATAGCTGGGTTAACTAATATCTTTCTGTGAGGCAGCTGTTAGAGGCATTAGATGCGTCAGACGTCTGGTTCCTATCACCACCATTGTGAACAATTTTGACTTGGTACGTTTCTCCACAATAGAGAATTCCACATCGAACCTCTCTGACTGGCTTTGTTTAGATCGTAATGCCTAAATTATGCAGAGAATTTTAAAAAGTCGGGCGAGTGGTCCTTTAACTATAAAGGCCTATGGGCTTATTCACTCTCTCAGGCTCATTCTAGGCTCCACACCACGCCTCCAGTCCCGCTCCACTCCCACTACTCCTCACACTGTTGTAGACCATTAAACTATGCAGTATGGTGGACCGCAGTTATGTAACACGAGCGTGCGGCTGCGCACAGCTACAGGGTAAAGCAGTTAACGGGGGGAGATAAATTGAGGTAGAGCTCTCATCTCTCCGCAGGCAGTCATGACAGAGCCAACCCAAAACATAGAATCAGCGTTCTGCCGAAACGGCAAGGAGACCCCGGAGCCCATCAGAGCAGAAGTGACAGGTAGGCTTGCTGCGCCAGTGCGCTGTTTGAGGACAGCCTGGGAGCAGCTGGAACTTGTGGATTTGTCTTGTGTAGCTAAACCTGGCGTTTACTGAGTGCACGCTGGGTCACAATGGGTCACGCTGGGTCAGTGATGTTCAGCTCTCCAGCTCTACACATGCTCTGCTTGTATTTATAACCACAAACTACCACTAGACAATAAATGATCCGCTCAAACCAAGGCAGGTTTGCGGTTTTAGCTTTAGTAACCTGGTTTCTGTGACGTTTCAATTTACTGTAACTCAAAAAGGACGTTTATAGCTAGAACAGTATGGTAAAGTACAGTACGGAACAGTGCACTATGTGTATGCTGTGATCTGACTACAATACTAGTGAATTAATGCATGACATGGACTTCATTCTAAAAATCGTGACCTTTGACCCATCCCTTTTCAAAGTAATGCCAGGGAACTTGTAGAGAGGAGAATTATCTCTCTGTAACGCCTTCCGTGTTTCTCAAACGCTAGAGGGCGCTCACAAGCGAGCCCAGATTAATGGGTTAATATGGGGCATTTCACAGTTAAAAAATGCTTAAATATTTTTTAAAACAAAAGAATTTATTTAATAAAGAATTTTAACATCGCTCTTATATTTTTAACCACTTTTGAACTTGAGTTATAGGAGCTTAAAACGGCGCCTCGTGTACGTCCATATTGTCTGTGAGCGATCCGCTCGCCAACCAATCAGGACTCAGTAGCAGTAATGCCAGCGTTCTGCTGCCCATTTGCTGTAGAAAAAAAAATAAACGTACAGGTGAGTTTTCTTTGCGTGTTTAGTGAAATACACCCTTCTACTTTCTAAAATTAAAGGAAAGTTCTGGCCAAGTGATTAGAAACTATTAACTTGTTGTTATTAGCCACTTAACTCTGTTAACCCCCATACATTGACTCGCAGGCGCCCTCTGGCGTTTTGCAGTCCTGTTTTTGGTATATAGAGGGAAATACAAAGAGGTCAAGGACCCTCATAAACCCGCTAGTAGCAAAATTTTTATATAAACAGAAAAGTTGGTGCGTTGAACATTCTGTTGTGTTACGCAAGCATTGCAACTATGGCAGCTGAGAGGGCCAATCTCGGTGTCGTAGCTTATTCTATCAAAAAAAGACAGAAAACTTTACAGTCAAACCTTTACAACAAACATGTCTTCTTACGTTTTCAGTAGTTGCATATAGCAAGCTACAGCGGTCACATTTGTAGAGACTTTATTAAATTTAATTGCCATTTTAAATACGGCAGGTTTTATATTGCCTGTCGCTGCTGATTGGGTAAGACTCTGACACGCCCATCTAATGAGAGAAAACGTACCTCAAAGCCTGTTTCACGCCATTCCGACAATACATGTTGTTCAAGTCGAAAACCATAGCAAAACTGTGAGCAACGTTTTGAGATTAAGCGTAACCAAGGTTACATATTCTGAAAAACAAAATTCAACAGCCAAACACAGAGGCGGAGCTAATTAACATCTCTGTTTCAGCTTTGGGGGCGGGGCACTTACCTGCGCGGATTAGTGATCGGTGAGAGGGAGGGAAGTGCTTTAGCCGCTGGCAAATCAGGGAACTGTTTTCACTGCGATGTACGGACCGATCTTTTAGACCCTTGGCCAGTTTATATTACCACAGTGTGTGAAATTGACTAAATGTAACCTGCAGTATTTCTTATTGCTACTTTGCTAAACTAGAATTTGACCAGTTTGATGTTCTGATATATGTGAGCTAGCTAGCCAGCAGACTTAGCTATCTGGAGCTCAGTGAACCCCTCAGGGTCAAAACTAACAACACGAAAACCGTTCATGAACACTTTAATTGGAACACGGACAGAGGCTATAGCGTTACATAGTGCTGAAAGATTTTAGTTAGCCGGTCAGTTGCCCAGTTGTCAGAGAAAGTCGTCATGTTTCAAGTTTAGCACTTCTTAGTCAAGACTTATTAATTAATTAATTAATTATTAATAATGCATTCTTTTTACCCACCATATTTGGAATTACTGTAACATTACTTAAGAGGAAAAGCTGTATTGACAAAAAGTGCTCAGCTGCTTATCTGTGCAGTTAACTCTTCTGCAAAACCTCTGCAGTCATGTATCTACAGTGCCATGCGAGGTAAATGTGGGCTGTGATATCGGTTTAGGTATTACAGGTCATATAGATAACATACTGAAATGCAGATAACGCAGAATGCACTGAACACTGAACTCTGTACAGAATATGTGTTCATTCAGTAGGTCACTTAAGGTTGGTCAGAGGAAAACAAGCGAGTAATAAAGAATTATGGCTGGCTAAGAACCGTTTTACCAGAGATTAGGAAAAGGCAGCTGTTGTGGTTTGTTGGTCTCGTCCTTAACGCGTTTTTTTTGGGAAGTTTACCAAGAGTGTGATAAAATCCACAAGCAGAATTTTAGCTGCATCTGTACGAATATTTCATGTACTAACATAAAGCCATGTAATGTCCTGGTGTATTTGCATTTTTTCTTGTTTCTGTGTCCTGAATCGTGTCTGTTTGTAGGCACCCTCCCATCATGGCTTCAGGGCACACTTCTGCGCAATGGACCCGGCCTCTTCTCAGTCGGAGACACTTCCTACAACCACTGGTTTGATGGAATGTCCCTCATTCACAGTTTCACCTTTAAGGATGGTGAGTACAACTATAAGGAAAACATGCAGAAAGAGGCTGCGTTCAGTTTCTGCACGCTTAATTCCCGTAGTCGAGTAAGTTGGCAGGTTTATGGTTCACTGAATCTAGGAAAACTCTAAACTGAGGGTGGGGGCAGTTGCACTGTCCATAGCTTAGCTGTGGTTTAGAGTAACCTGAGTTTAGACCTGAATGAGTCATGTTGGTTCTTAATCTCCATTTCTGTGTCCTTGAAAGACTCTGTTTAAAGTGCACCTGTGCTTTAAACTAAACCTGATTACTGTGTCCTTTAAAAATCGCACATCTTGCCAGTAGATGGTGCTGTATACCAGAGTTGACTGTGGTTAAATACAAGAATATTGTAATTAAAGCACATTTTCAGCTCAGATATTTTAACATTGAAATATTAGCTCATCAGAGTAATTGGGCCTTTTGAGAGGCACCATTAGGTACTGGTGCAGAGGGTAGCATTGCTCACCAAGCAAGCCCCTTCCTTGAGTCAAGTCATTCTGTTCACTCAGTGTCATTCGGTTTCATGTCGGCTAATCTTTTAAAACGCTGTGGATACTTTTTCAAGCGAGTGGTTTTAGTTTATGTGTTTAAAATTGAGTAGCTTAACAAACACCATTGTGCACAGTTAGGTCCAGTGACATGCACAGACTTTGCGTAATTAACATTTCTGTATTAGGTTAGGCCTGAAATAAAAAAGTCTGTTATAATTTGCTCTAAATGTAAATTAAAGGAACAAATATGTAATACAGACAGCAAGCGTTTAAAATGGGTACTGCAGTCCAAATTCAGTATATTGGAGATCTGTCTGCTTCCACCCCGCTCCCCAGACTTGAAGCTCACACAGGTTGCCAGGTTGAGAACACTTAACCTGCACAAATGAGCGCAAGATGAGCACAACATTAAACTTTGACAAAGGCAGGTGATGACGAGTCATACACTGCAAGTTGATCAGCTAATATTGACTGGCCTCTGGTCATGGAACTCTTAAAAAGATGCCAAAGCTTTTTAGGCTGGGTCCAGTTTGTTTGCAGGCTCCCATGGTGCAGCACACTGTGTCTGCCTGCCAACTTGTTTCATATCTGGCAACCCAGGGTGTCGAAATGGTACTAGAAAATGGGCAGTGGGCGGATCACAGTCCAAAATGCAGACTTTCCACTCTGGAACAGAAATTTCAGAGGAGCACATGCTGGCTGTAGCACTGTTGACGAAGAAGCCCGTATTTCTACTTGACAAGTTTCCTTAATAATTGGTGACATATGATGGTCATTTTATGATTTAGTACAGTAAATACACCAATCAGGCATAACATTATGACCACCTCCTTGTTTCTACGCTCATTGTCCATTTTATCAGCTCCACTTACTCAGCACTGCAGTAACACTAATGTGGTGGTGGTGTGTTGGTGTGTGTTGTGCTTGCCTGAGTGGATCAGACACAGCAGTGCTGCTGGAGTTTTAAACACTGTCCACTCTATTAGACACTCCTACCTTGTCCGTCCACCTTGTAGATGTAAAGTCAGAGACAATAACTCATCTGCTGCTGCACAGTTTGTGTTGGTCATCCTCTAGTCCTTCATCAGTGGTCACAGGACGCTGCCCACAGGACGCTGTTGGCTGGATGTTTTTGGTTGGTGGACTATTCTCAGTCCGGCAGCACTGCTGTGTCTGATCCACTCAGACCAGCACAACACACACTAACACACCACCACCACATCAGTGTTACTGCAGTGCTGAGAATGATCCACCACCCAAATAGTACCTGCTCTGTGAGGGTCCATGGGGGTCCTGACCACTGAAGAACAGGGTAAAAGGGGGCTAACAAAGTATGCAGAGAAACAGATGGACTACAGTCTGTAACTGTAGAACTACAAAGTGCACCTATATAGTAAGTGGAGCTGATAAAATGGACAATGAACGTAGAAACAAGGAGGTGGTCAGAATGTTATGCCAGATCGGTGTACATTACGTATTGTTCCTGCAACTGAAGGCAGACAGTTTTAACGTTTTAATCGTTGTGATTATATATATGGTAAAAATCTGTAGTACATTTATTGATAAATTTGGAAGCTTTTATACAGTAAAATATGTCCTGCAGTGTTTTGTTTTAGTTGGGCTGATCATGTCGTAATTTGATAATATATACAGTTTAACATATGTTTAGTGGCGGATCAGGTAGACTAGTGTTCGTTTTAACAGAGCAGTCAGGTTTAATTTAACGTGCAGTGTTACACTGTTAAGACTAAACTGCTGCTAAACTAATGACAGAGCATAAGCCCCGGTGTCCAGTTTTATCTGAAAAGGGCCAGTGTGACTGTAGGTTTATACTCTGAACAAGCAGGAGCACCTCATTCCACTTATTTAATCAGTTAGCTGCAGTCTTCTACAACTGATCAGATGTGCTCCTGCTTTATTGTTATGAAAACCCACAGCCACACCAGCCCTTTGTGGATAAGATTGGACCAGCCCTGCACTAAACTGTGAAGTGCAAAGCCCTCAAGAACTGGACATGGACACATCAGCTTTGTGTTGAGCTCCACCTGGTGGTTTCATGCTGAAATAATAGAAAGAGCAGGCGGCTGTGGGGGCAAACAAGCAGAGATGTGTAGCAGTTTATTACATTTGCTCAGTTCTGTTTACTTAAGTACTTTTTGGAGTGTTTTCAAATAATAATACTCAAATATATGCTTTTAATATATGGTGTTAGAAGAAGCATTTAATGGGCATATAAGCTTTATGTGATGTGGCAGTTTTTTAAAGTTGAAAAAGTTCTGATACAAAATTGGTTCTTTAAGGAAGCATCAATTGAAAGGTTCTTTAGGGAGCCAAAAGTAGTTCTTCAGTGCTATCACTCCAAAAAAAAAACCCTTTTTGGCACCTTTATTTTTTTTATTTTGTTCTGTTGGTTGTGCACCTAAACTGCTTTGTCGCTGCCTACAGACATCAATTTTAAGGTTTATTGTTTTATAAAAGATGGAAAGGACCACAAAAATCGAAAAATAGTGCTTGATATATACTAGATGTGGAAGTTCCACTGCAGTTCCACTGTAATTCTATGGAAAACTCAGCCCATTAGAAATGTTTAGTCAATACTGAGTGCAGTTCTAGGCTACTACAGCCACTTCTGGAAAGGAGTAATGTCTCTGTTTTTCGTCAGGTGAGGTGCACTACAGGAGCAAATTCCTAAAGAGTGAAACGTACAAGAAGAACATTGCTGCCAACAGGATTGTGGTTACAGAATTTGGGACCATGGCCTACCCCGATCCCTGCAAGAACATATTCTCAAAGTAATTCCGTCTGTTTAGACCTGTGTTATAATTGTTTATAGATGATATGTGTTTACATTTTCTGTTTTTCAGAACTAAACATTTTTAACACACATTTCAGGGCCTTCACCTACCTACTTAATACCATCCCAAATTTCACCGACAATAATCTTGTAAACATTATACGATATGGAGAAGATTACTACGCGTCCTCGGAAATAAACTTCATCAACCAAATTGATCCATCGACTCTTGAAACCGTAGCAAGAGTGAGTTCAAATTGAAATAGCTGTTTTATTTTTGGACATTTTTAAAAGCAGTGCTTAATGTCTGATGATGAGCTTTCTGGTTTTGTATGTGTCTTGAACTGCTGTTTCAGGTTAATTACAGGAATCACATCGCCCTGAACTTGGCTACAGCACACCCTCACTATGACGAGGAGGGAAACACCTATAACATAGGCACGTCGATCATGGCAATGACCGGGCCCAAATATGTTATCTTCAAGGTTCCAGCCAATGCAACAGGTATAAAGGACAGCTGAAGTGAAGAACTCTCAGTTTCCTTGTTCCTTCACTTACTGGCTGTTTAATCAGGAGCACCTACCACTTTGTAGGTGTACATGCTAGAGACAGTTTAGAGTGTGTTGCTCTGGTAAGAGGATATTGGGTACTGAGGTGTTGCTGTGTTTCTATACTGCTGAGTTGAGTGCATTCTAACCAAAAATATCCACCGAACTGTGGTCCTGTGGTCAGAAAGTGACCGTTGATGACGAACTAGAGGATGACTAACACAAACTGTGAATGGAAAAGGAGAGCTGTAGTCTCTACCTGTACACCTACACGGTGCAACAAGGTAGGTGTATGTAATAAAGTGGTCAGTAATGGTGTTTTCCACCGAGTGATATGGTACAGCACAGTATAGTTACAAATCTGAAGCCAGAACTAGTCGTACCCTGTTCGAACATCTATGTCCATTTTCCATAGACCTCTGAAGCTGAGTTGTCATTATGTTGTCCGCTCCAAAATCCAATAATAATGCTCTGAATCCAGTAAACTTCTCCTGTGTACATTTCTTTCCTGAGTGACACTGGATCTTCTGAATTATGAGTCATGAATATCTAGCGTTAACAGTAAACACAAATAACAGTAGCAACAATAGAGGATTTTCAAGTACTGATTTACCATCTATTGATCCAGTTCACTGATTTTTGGCCAAACCATTAAGATTCTGTGATGATTGCATTTGACAAATCGAGGGTCTGCACTATTTCTAGCACCACCCACACGTTCGTGCTCAGCATGCTTGGTACGGTACACCTTAAGTGTACACAGCGTGTAAAAACCCAAGCAACACTGCTCTAACTACTACCCTTGTATCAGTACAGCACACACTACCATGTTGGTATCACTACTGTGTTGAGAATGGTCCACCACGCAAATACAGAAGGTGCTTGTGTGTTGACGGAGTACCTGATAAAATGATTTAGGAGTGTTACTACAAGGTAGCTGCACCTAATAAACTCGCAACTCCCTTTGGTGAATCTTTCTAAGGGAAGCAGGCCTCATAAGGTTAATGTACCCAACAATGGAAGCCTGTACTCCACCAATTAGCATCATGCAAACTGTATACTTACATCACCACACGCTTCCCTCAAACTGTCAAGCTATTAAGTAATCTTAAATATGCTTAATTCTATTTTTTATGATATGCTTCCGTTGTCTACAACATACTTTTAACTAGGAGTGGGCGATATGGCAAAAACCTAATATCATGATACTTGATTTTTAAAATACTGTCAAATGTTGATTTTTCTTTATCGTGTCACATTCTGTGGCGCAGCAGATCCAGTTGAAATGAACTATTTGTGCTGTCTTTGTAATGAATCATGTAGTGATTTAGTGTTCTTACAGCAGTGATGATATCCATGATGTGCTCAGAAAAGCATGGTGTGACATAAATTATCACGATAACGATAAAATGTCGTCATATTGCCCACCCCTAATTTAACCCTTTAATGTCCTCACCAAGAAAAAAGCAATGGACTTTCATATTTTGTATTTTTTATTTGTTTGGGGCAATAATAAAAACAATTTGTGCTTTTTTTTTCGTTTTTTTGACCCCACAATTTAAAAAATATTCATGTATACCAAATGGTTGAGATGGCACTTTGTGGCATATATAGTGACTCAAAATGTGCTCTACCAAATGGTTGAGCAGAACATTAAAGGGTTAACTATAAAAATATAAAACATTTGTTAAATTAGATTTTCTTCCAAACCATTGATTAATTGAAAGCTCACTCTTAATATTATAATATGATAATATAATGTGTTATAACAATAGTTAAATGAAAGATAAATTAGAGGTTTTTGATATTTGAAGTCATTTTAATAATAAACAATATGTATCACAATATTTAGTTTTTCTGAGGTTTCATAAGTTGGAACAGATGAAATGCAGCAGCAATGCCACATTTAAAATACTGTCAAAAAGCACACTTATTAAATGTTTCTCATCTCAAAAATAGGAACTAAACTGTCTCTGGGGTGGTACATAATTGTTTTCTTTTGCAGTTTTATATTTTAAACTACATTGACTCCACACACCTTGTCTTGACTCTATGCTTCTTACTTTTGGTTATGTTTTAAAAGTTTTTTTAGGTTATGAAAGATATAAATATGTACCTCTCCCCATTGGAAAAATCATTGTTGTACCTTTTTCAGGGTACATTTACATTGTTTATACATATATAACAAAATTGTACCAGCCCAGTACCTTTTTTCTGACACTAGACTGCTTTGCACTGCTTCAACCTCAAGGAAAAGATGAAGTATGTACTCCTTGCAGACAAAGAGAAGAAGCCTGTACTAAAGAAGCTGGAGCAGGTTTGCTCCATTCCTGTTCGCTCCAACCTCTACCCCAGCTACTTCCACAGCTTCGGGATGACTGCAAACTACATCATATTTGTCGAACAGGCGTTCAAACTGGACGTAATCCGACTGGCCACAGCTTACTTCAGAGGAGAAACTTGGGGCAGGTGCCTCAAATATGACAAAGATGATGTTGTAAGCAAAGTTTATTTAGCTTTTAGCCCACCTACATTCTCAGAGCAAAAAGGTTTTAAACTGTACATATCGCTGCTGTCGGAACAAAACCTCGTATCTCCAATTTTGTCATTTTTCAATTTTTGATATAATTTGAAAGTACTGGTAGTCCTATGTGTGTAAATTTCATGATGAGTGGACCAAAAGAAATGACCCAAAACTACTTGGAAAAAAGTCTGGTTCCATTGACTTACATTAAAAGTAAAGTATGTTTTTTTCCTTCTCCTGTAAAGTTACCATTTTGGAGATACAAGGTTTTGATCCGACAGCAGCGATATGAAGGTGCACATGCTTGTTGCTGGGGTGGGATCCTCCAGGGTGTGTCCTCAGTACCTTTAGTTAGAGAACAAAAATGTACAGTAGTCCATTGTAGTTGAACTGCATTCCATGCAGCCTACCTTGACTATCTTGAAGTTATGAAACCTTTAAAACTCATTTAAGGTAAACATAAAGACCTAAAGATCCATGATGCACCTCAGAGGTTATGTTTACAGTGTTTTGATCTTGGGGGGATAAAAATGTACCTGTACAGTTCACTTTTTTCCAACAGTGTATCTGTTCATGTCATATTTGTCACCTGTTTACATTCCCTAGCAGCCTCTCAGTGCAATCCCATTTTTATCTGCTGCCTCATAGACGCTGTTCCACCTGATTGACAGAAAGACTGGGAAGGCTGTGGACACCAAGTTCTATGGGGACGCTTTTGTGGTTTTCCATCATATCAACGCCTACGAGGAGAAAGGCCATGTAGTGTTTGACCTGATCACATACAAAGACGGCAGTCTGTATGACATGTTCTACATGGAAAACATGAAGAAGGAGATTCAGGAAGAAGGCGAGACTGTCCCTTCACCAGTCAGCCAGCGATTTGTCATCCCCATAAATGCTGACCTCAAGGTTAGTGGTGAGGAAGTAAACGTGTTTTCCTTTGTCAGTAATACTGCTCATGTGAGGTTATACTGCACCCTCAAAACCAGTAATTGTGTTAAAAGTGTTAACACCACACTTTTTAGCCCTTTTTTGCTATCCTGCAAGAACTCAGGATGCCTCTGGCACAGAATGCGTCATTAGAACTCATCTTTTTTTTAAGATCTGAACAAATTGGCTGTGTAAAATAATGAAACATTAAAAGTCTCAGTTAATACTAGTAATAACAAAATCAAGTAATTGTATATTAATGAGGAATTCCACCATTTTCTGTTTTCCAATTCCAAAATTTGTGCTTAATTAAATCTTGAAGATGTAAACAAAGTCATTCAAAGTGGTTTGATGTGAAATGCCGAATTCTAGAGAAAACTGCCTGAGTCACAGCTGTTCACAGCAGAGGTGATAGGAACCAGATGTCTGACGAGATTATTGCCTCTAAAAGTTTCCTCACATGAAGTTACATGAAATATTTAAAAAATTCCATGCTTTTGGATTTTAAGATTTTGATTTTAAATGTATTTTAATATCTGTTTATGGTGGAGTGGTGCATGCAGGGTGTTGTGTGGCAAAAGAAATGGTGGCGATTCACCACTATTTTATCGTTACCAACATTACGTATAAAAACTCAGAAGCCACATGTTTGCTCTCTTGTCATTTTGGATAGCAAGTAAAAACCTATAATTGCGTTGTAGACATGTGCACCACCACTGTAAAGTTAGGGTGTTTCTCTACAGTGCACCATTTCACATCAAACCACTCTGAATTACTCTGTGTTAGAGCTGGGCAACATGATAATATTTGTCATTATCATGATAAATTCCATCACTATATGTCACAATATGCTTTTCTGAGCATATTTTGGAAATCGTCAGTATTTAATAAAACATTTCCTCATTACAAAAGGAGCATAATTGGTACTGTTAATTGTATTTAGTGCAGTTTGTGAAATGCTGAATTCAAATCATTGGATTCATAGTTCTTGATAGCATTTGTTAAATGTGGCACTATTTTGTTCCGACTTATCAGATGGCAGAAAAAATATCGTGTATCATGAAAGACTGTGGAAGTTTCTTGATATTACATTTTTGCCATTTCGCCCACCTCCATTTTGTATAGATTGAAACAACTGAATTATGCAGAAATATTGGAAAATTTGGTGGAATTGCACCTTAATTATTTTTTAGTCATAGCCTGTTGAAACCAGTGGAGGTCTGTCAAAAGTGCAGATTTTAAACTGTCTTTCAATATCACATTGGTATTTGTAAATAGAAAAACAGCTGATTTTATTATAAATTTGTTGTGCATACAAACTCATATTACAGAAAGAAAAAACATTTTTCCTTTTTCCAGAACATTTATTTAAATTTAGCTTGTTGATAGTGAATGTAAATGGAATGTGAACAAAACTCATTACATAACTGATTATGTAATTACATAATAATTACATAACTACATTTAAATAGTTGAGCAGTAACTCTTGACTGTAACCAGTAACCACACTGGTTGACCAAAAATATGGACACGATGATGGGTTGCACAATTCATGTTATTTTTAATGCATCTGATTTGAGGATGTGAACTTTTTTTTTTCATCTTTCATTTTTAGGAAGTTCCAGTCGGCACTAACCTTGTGAAGCTGGAGGACACATCAGCCACAGCTGTGCTGCAGAAGGATGGCTCCCTGTTCCTCACCCCGGACTCATTGTTTGAGGGTTAGAATCACAAACTTTTTTGTTTGTTGTCACCGTCAGAATAACAGAAACATACTTATATACTTATACTTATTTACAGGTTTGGAGTTACCTGGGATCAACTACAAATACAACACGAAAAAGCACAGATACTTCTACGGCTCTAGGATGGACTGGTCACCAAAGATAACTAAGGTACCGTCCAGTCTACAGGAACGATTCCCTGGTTCCTCTTTCTAACTTTGCTAACTGATGTGATGTGTAAATATTCAGACATACTATTCACACTTCAGACCATGCGGTCCACATATGGACCTGCAAAACTAAGCTATAAAGCAGTCTATTGTTGTTGTAAGGCCATAAAATTAACTCATTTACATAAATCATTGTGTTCAGCCAACAGACGTTTAGTCTGTTAAACTTATAATGAGTGGTTCACCCTGGACTAATACACTTACGTGTAATAAATCTTTTCAAAACTGTCATAAAACAATGTCTCAGGTATCCTGTGGCAAATTCTGAATCACTTCAAGTAACTGGTGTCTGTGATGTAGATTTTAGAGAGTAAACTGGCTGGTTCACCACAACTGAGATAAGTTCTGACTTACTACATCTCTCTAGAACGGCATATTTCACATTGAACCGCTCTGAAAGACTGTGTGTACATATTAACCACTGAATTATGCAGAAAAATGATGGAATTTCCCTTTAAAGGCACAGTCACAAAAAACCCCCTTTTTAATTCTAAGGCATAAATAAAGGTTGGAAATGGTCATTTAAAAATGAACTGTGACTGCATTTGCATCATAAATCCACACAAACATCATAAGTGAGGAAAAAATAGCAGGAAAAACCCCCCTTTAATTATGGGCTGGTTGAACGGAAGGCTGCCTAATATTAGTAAACTGAAATCTTAGTCTTTGTACAACAACAAAATCACACTGAGCTCATTGAACTACGCTGCCTATTTAACTGAGCCACAATTGCTGTCAGATACACCATAAAGTGGATGGCAAATCCTTATGTGCTTATACGACCTACTAAAACGTGACATTCTTGACATTTAAACTTTTGCAGGTCACTAAAGTGGACACTGTTACCAGGACATACATGGAATGGACAGAAAAGGATTGCTACCCATCTGAACCGGTGTTTGTGGCGTCTCCGGATGCTGTGGATGAGGATGATGGTGAACTTCTTGAATCTTTAATTTCAAAACACATTGGGGGGAGCATATGCAGATTAACCATGTATAGTAAATGTCCCAAAAGTATAGGGGTACCCCTATTAACTGAAGAATTGGGCTAATTAAGGCACACCCTTTATTGGCACAGGTGTTCAGTTGTGCACCTACAGTAATCCAGAGAAATGTAGTCACAGAAAAGCATCAGCAGGAAATGCTTTAGGAACTGAGGATTGAAACTGTGTTCTTTGGAGTTATGAAGAACCATCCAGTACCTTTAGGATGAACAGGAGTGCTGTTTGTGATTCAAAACTAATCTTCCCACATCACTAGCTGAGCTTACTGATGATTGAATGCAGTCAAATCCTCACAGCAGTGTTCCCAGAAGAGTAGAGGCTGCTTTTGCAGCAACTCCTGCAAACTTTCAGCAAAATGTTGGAACAGCAGGTGCCTGGATACATTTGGAGATATAGGGTGTAACATTTAAAGTACAGAGAAAGTGCAAAGCATTCTGTCATTTTTAATTGTTGCCATTTTTCTCTTTTAGGTGTTATTCTCTCATCTGTTGTCTCTCTCAGTCCCAAGAAACCCCCATTCATGTTGGTTCTGGATGCGAAGACCTTTAAAGAGATCGCTCGTGCCTCCATTAATGCCTCCGTACACCTGGACCTGCACGGGCTGTTCATCCGCGAGAAGTCTTAACTGGAACGGCCCCGTGAACCAACCAGCATTCTAAAAGACTTGTGTAGTGCTCATTTACTCAGAGCAACTTGGTTTGTGGCCCTGTGTTATTGGTGACTGCACAAAGGCACACTGTCACAAATAAGTAGTTAGTTACACTAAAGCTACTTTTCAAGATCGAGATCAAAATCAAGGACAACTTTTTGTTATTCCAACCATATACAAGTATAAGGTGGAACACAGGGCCTTCAGGGCCACAATGCAATGTACAGTACAAGGCCATTCAATACAAGTGACCGAGACATGAACTACATATAGTGCAATTAAACAAGACTCTGCAGGGAAATACACTGTATTACAATACAATACAAAAGTACAAAACGGTGCAAAACTAGTCTTAAAGAAATGGTTTGGCGGAAAAAACAATTTACATAAATCTTCATTTACCCCAGATGAACTCAGTCAGCCAAGACATGTTGAAACTGAGAAATTGTGTTTCAAAATGTTGCGACAGGGGCAACAAAAGACTGGTGAATTTGTGTAATTCAAAAAAACTTTTAGAAGTGAAGATGAGGAGGGGTTCACCACTCTGTGAAATTCTGTGCACGCAGATAGTACAACAATTCAAAGAATAACGTTTCTCAACATAAAATAACAAAGAACTTTGGATTTCATCATCTACGGTACATTATATCTATATAAAATTCTGAGAATTCAGAGAAATCTCTATATGCATGAGAAAAGGCCAAAAAAAAACCAATATTGGTTGGCTGTGATCTTTTGCGTTAAAAACAGACAGGACTCTGTAGTTGAAATCACGGCATGGGCTCAGGAACACGTCTGAAAAATCATTGTCTGTGGACACAGTTCGTTGCTGTGTCCACAGATGCAAGTTAAAACTCTACCATGCAAAAAAGAGACCATATATAAATGCCATATAAAAGGGATCTAGAAATGCCGCCACCTTCTTTGGGCCCAAGCTTATTTAAGATAGACTGAGGTGAAGTGGAAAAATGTCCTGGGGCCTGATGAATCAAACATTTTAAATTCTTTTTGGAAATCATGGATGCTGCATCCTCTGGGCTAAAGAGGACAGAAAACATCCAGCTTGTTATCAGCGCACAGTTCAAAAGCCAGCATCCATGATGGTACTTGGGGGATTAGTGCACATGGCATGGATGACTTGCACATCTGTGAAGGCACCAATAATGCTGAACTTTTGGAGCGACATACACTGCCATCCAGACAACGTCATTTTCAGGAAAGACCTTGCATATTTCTGCAAGACAATGCCAAACCACTGTGTAGGCCAAACTGCTGTGTAGGCTAAACTGGCCTGCTTGCAATCCAGACCTGCAACCCCTTGAAAACATTTTGCACAATATGAAATGGAAAAAGCGCCAAAGGAGACATTGTTGTTAAAAGAAGAGGTGATGCAACACAGTGGTGAACAGGTGCCTGTCCCAACGTTTTGGAAAGATAACAAATTCAAAATGGGCAAAATGAGCACTGGTCAGAAAACTATAACATTTCTCAGTATCAACATTTGATGTGTTGTCTTTGTGCTATTTTGAATTAGATATAGGGTTTAAATCATTTGCACACCATTGCATTCCGTTTTTTTCCCCCCACATTTTGCACAGCGTGCCAATTTTTTGGGATACAGGGTTTTGTCTGGTTATTTATAGAAACAGCAGAAATCCCTAAAGTACTCTAGCATTCTTTTGTCCATGTGACATGCATGCATGTGAAGGGTGGGAGTCAAAATTTGGCACAACACATCTTGGCTAAAAACGGCTGCCTGCTGCGTTTAGCTACATGGTGAGGTTTTGTTCATTTTTATAGATCACAGTAAGTCATACTGTGTCCTAAACCACATGGACTAGTCCTAAAAGGGTTTGAGCGATTTTGGGGATGTATTTATGAAAAGATTTGACTATTGACTAAACTTAAGAAGCACAATTTGGAATTGTGTAAATTAGATTTTTTGCCAAACCGTTCTGTTAAAGCCCAACAATAAATGATTATTTATTATAGGACATATCGTCTTGTTCTACAATAAATATACCAGACGAAATGACAGACAGTAAAACATAGTATAGTACAGTATAAGAATGAGTATGACACAACAAAGTATAGACTGATGAGCCAAAACATTGTAACCCCCTGCCTAATATGCTGTTGGTCCTCTATGTGCCACCAAAGCAGCTCCGAATTACCAAGGCGTGGACTCTACAAGTTGCGAGGTGGAGCCGTTGTTGTTCAGACTGGTTGTTCTACCACATCCCAGTGATACAGATTGAGATCTGGAGAATTTGAAGACCAGTGCAGCACCTTGAACTCTTCCTTAAACCATTCCGAACAATGTTTGTGCTGTGGCAGGGCACATTATCTTGCTGACACTGCCCATTGCAGGCATTTTCCATGGCGGACAGTGATTAGCATGGGCACTGTGACCAGTCTGTGTGTTGTGACAAACTCCTCTCATAACTGTCATTAAAAATTTCTGAGACTTGTGCCACAGTACCTCTTCTGTCAGTTCGGACCAGATGGGATAGGCTTTGTTGCCCTCACGGGTCAATAACCCTTGGCTGCCCAATGCCCTGTCTCTGGTTCGTCTCTCTTCAGATCACAGTCGGTAGGTACTCACCACTGCTGACCAGGAGGACCTCACAAGCCTTTCCATTTCAGAGATGCTCTGACCCACAAATCAAACTAATCAAACATTACTAACTACAAGAACTGACTGTTCCATTACCATTGCATCTAAGGCTACATTCACATTACCAGGTTGAAGTGGCACAAATCCGATTTTTTACCTAATGTGACTCAGATCTGATGTTTTCAGAGCTGTGTGGACACGCAAATCTGATCTGTTCAAGCCCCACCTGAGCTACTTTCATATGTGGTCCTAGATCGGATACAAATCCAATTTGTGGCCATGCGACCTTAATGTGAAGCTCAGGTCAGAATTTATGTGCTTTTTTTCCAATGCACGTGCGCCATCATACAGCTTTGCCATGGCAGCAGTGCCGAACAGAAGTTAAAGTCTGTAAACGGTGGAAAAGCAACACATCTCACCTTTTTCACCTTCGTCTCGCTCTAATAATGAAGCTGAGAGCTGATCAGAGTTAATTATCTTCAGAGCCAAGGCTCGTTCTGCTCGTTAGTTTGTTTGCTGATGATGCACGTGACGCATGTGATTCATTCATGTGATGTTACTGAGTAGGATGTGCGCATGCGGGTCATTTCAGGACGCTGGTCCATTCACATTAATGACAGATTTGAATCACTTACCTAAACGGGTGTGAACCAGATTGTCAGAGAGAGCAAAAAATCGGATTTGAGCTTTGAGGCTTGTAATGTGAACATAGCCCAATATGTCCCAGACCTTGACATGTGCCATTGTTGGTGAGACAGTCAACATTATTCGCGTCCTCTGTGAGCAGTCATAATGTTTTGGCTCATCTGTGTACACTGGAGTAGATCAGCTGTGTAAATTATATATAAACTGTAATGCCAGCATATCATACTACAAGCACCAAGTAACCTGTTAAAGATAGCAGGATAATACATTACACCAGCAACGTAATGAACAGTTCTTAAGTGGTCAGTGTGAACAGCCAGAACAGGGGATCCCAGTGCCAGTCCTGGCGACTCCACACTATGGACATTTTTGTGCTTTTTCCAATTTAGCGCTCCTGATTCAACTCAGTGACCTTCTTCTGGGCTGAGTCAGGAGTATAGCATAATGATGCTGGTACAAGCTTATCACATGCCATGATATTCTTTTCCTGTGAAGCTTATAGTTTTAATGTGTTAATATTAATAATGTTAATAATATAAGTAATAACAAAACTGCCTCTACATGTAAAATTGGGGAAAATGTTAAAGTTAGCTTTGGTCAAGCTACGTTATATTCAAGATAGTTAAAACCACATATTACAGGAAAATACAAGCATTTCTTCCCTAACATTATTTGTGCAATTTTAATTTAACAGGATTCTCAGGGCAAACTTTGACCTGAGGACCTTATGCACTGCATGTTCTGCACTTGCAGCCTTTTTCGTTTACAATGTCGTAATCATGCATGGCTTAAACTTGTATATAAAAAGGTAGCAGATTGCAGGACTGCGCCACTATTTTATAAATCTCTGATTGTGTGACTACCTATTGTGATTATGTATATTGGGTTAAATTGTGTCCAGTCTTGGTAATTAAATTATCTGGAATGACGATAATGCATTTTCATGCCAGCACAAATTTTGTGAAGTAAATTTGTAAAATAACACTTTTTAATGTTGATTAATTTTTAAGATTCTGAATTTTATGATGCTGTATGATTCTTTTCTCGCTGAAAATAACACTAACAGTTACATTGATCTTACTGATCTACACTGTGGGTCCAAAAATATCCAGACACCCATTCTGACATCCTAATGTTGCAGGATGAAGTGTAGGCCCGTATTCACAGGATCATCAACTGACCACTTGAGATTAATGTGGGGTGGTCTTCAGGTTGACAAGAATCAGGTGTTCAGATGTTTTCATATTCACTGATGTTAAGCATCTGTTTTCATCATTGCAGGTTATTTATTCTTAAAAATCGGAAGCAATCTGGTGTGCTGGGACAACTACAAGCTTAAAGCTTTTATTACATTAGAAATGTTCTTTAATGAGAAGAAACATGAGGCAAAATGCAATCTGATCCTCAGAGATGTGAATAATATAATGACCAAGGGTTGATTATATTAGTTGATTGTACTTTTGATTCTATTACGGGACATCATAGAAGGCAAAACAAAGCTTGAACTGCTCCTGCAAGCGATCACATTAAAATCATTTTAATTTTTTCCTTGAAATATGACAGAAAATAGATTGTTTAATATCTGATGATGAGGTGAAAACTTACCTAGAAAACTCAAAAACACAGTTCATCATATTTTGTTGCTGTCCAAAGAAAAACATGTATCTCCGAAATAGTAACTTTATAGGAGAGGGCAAAAACTTTCTTTACTTTCAATGTGAGTTAATGGAAAGAGATTTTATTCCAAGCAATTTTGAAGCATTTTTATTGGTCCAATCTTCATAAAACACAATGTAAAGGACAGCTGCTGAGCTCAAACGATGCAGAAAAGTAAAAATCGTAAAAAATGGAGATACGTGTTTTTCATTGGACAGCGACGATATGAAACTGAGTAATATGCATCCCATCATACAAAGTAGCTTTACCAGTTTGTATGTAATTCATACAAATATATACATTTACCACTTCAAAGTTGTCAGAAAATGCACTCATGCATTTATATTATTGTTGTACAGTAAAATGAGTAAACCTGACAAATAGGATGGAAGGACCAAGATCTTACCGCAGCAGTTCTACTCACCGAAATGGAGGACAAGCATCCAGATCTCCATCACCTCCAGCCCGCTACCTCTGACAGTGGGGCACTGACCATCACTGATCTCTCTCTGAGCTCCATTTATACATCTGTTCACTGTTGTATAACTTGCTCAGTGTTCTACTTATGGAATTAGTACAAGGGTATTATCATGCCACTGTACTGGGTGTGAATTAATAACTTATTTCTGAGAATATAATAGACTTTTACACCTTGCCATATTTAGAGAAAGCTAATCAGTCCAGTGTTTACTATCAGTGAATTAAGGCTGTTATGTAAAGAGACCTTTGAACAGTACACTGAATGAAGGCTGAGAGCAATGTTCACTCTTTATAACTGATTATGGCGTCTCTGTGAATCTAAAATTGGATGAGCCGTGTGATTCCACTGTACGTCATGCTTTAATTGAAATTCAGGCTGTTTCTGAGTGAAAATAAAAGCATTTTTACATGTAAGTTTCTTCTTGTTTCCTCTGCAGGAATAAAACTCAGAGTACAGATAAAAGCATCTGTTTTACAGCATAACTTTTATGACTTAGATGGCCTTTAAAACCTTTACGATCATAAAGTTTAAAAATGACTCATAAAAGACTACCACTGTGTACAATCATGTTTCATGTGTTGTGTTTAGCCTTGATAGATAAATAATGATAAAAAGCAAACATGATAATAATAATGCTGCAAAGTTTAGAGTGGAAAAAGAGGGATCAGAGCAGATTTCCATAGCAAAAGGCACATTTACAGCAAAGACTGGTACAAAGTTGAGTTGAGGAAACAAAATGAAAGCAATTCTGTGAAATGAATAGAAAATAGCTACAATATTTATCCCTGAAGGTTGAAAAGCTCTTGGAAGAGACTAACTGAGGCCTTATATCCTTATGAAAAAGATCAATAGTGAAATGTCTACATTCCTATGAGAGTAATAGTAAATTTAGACAATTACTGTAATTTACGAGACGATACTACACACTATAACAGATTACTCTAAGACAGAACTACAGGAAGGCAAGACTATTATTTAAGCTATAGAACACAAGTGCCATTGCGAATAAGTCACAGCTGTTATTCGGTCACAGGTACATGCCGAAGGCAAGTACAGTCGGCAGCCTGATGTTATTAACAAACTTACAGTTCAAGTGTTTCGTTGTTTTTTTTACAAACAGTTCTTCAAAATAAACAAAAAACAAAGGAAAGAAGTTCTGAATATTATTTCAAATGTCTTTACTTTATTGGAAATTCCTTCTGCTAAAAATAGCATCCATTTGTGTTACGGATAGTGTGGTAAAGTTGGTTTTATATGGACATTCACTAGATATTTGACTTTCTTCCCTTAATTTCTTGTGAAATACACATCGTGATCAAAACTACAGTGCCCTCACTCTTAACGGACAAAGGAGAAACTGCAATATATATTTCTAAATTGTTATTAAATTTACCTGATTTTTTAATTTCGAGGAGGGTAGACACTTCAAACATACTACAATCCACCCTCCTCGGGACAGCAGCAGTAGCAGGCACAACAAACTGACCTTTTTAATTGGAAATATGCTACGCTCCGAGAGACACTTTGCATGGCCACATTCACTAAGTGCCTCATGGCCAGGTGGAGCCTGTGGCAGACGCCACAATAGTATTTTATAATATTATTATAGTTCTTTTTTTAAGGGTTTCATAAAGTGCTGCATTTTTCAATATAATGCAAAAAATGTGCACTTATTACAGCAGAAAACACGATCACCGAGTTCTCTGCTAGCAAATTCATCCAGGGTTGGACGAGATGCTGACCGAGAGAGTTTACGGCTACGTCCGGACTGCAGACAAATCAAGTTTGTTTCTCAAATCAGATCTTTTGAAACGACTGTCCGCGCTGTTATTTGCAAGTGATCAGATCACAAAAGACACTATAAAATCTGATTTCAGCAGCCGGAGTGTCCAGACTGAGACGCATCTATAAATCATCTTCCTTCACTGGACCTTGACAAGGTGGGTTGATCTGTCTTGAAAGCTCAGCCTCTGCACTTTGTTCTATTGACTAAGACTTGGTCACATGCACTCTGTACATGCATGTGCTGGGCTCGAAAAGCGGCCTGTGAGAAATGAAGCTCTCCAAAGCAGAAACAGAAGCTTCATGCTGAGCTGAAAGGCATGGAAGCAGATAAATAAACGTGTTGATTAAGAAAAAAAACAGTTGTTTTTGCCAAATCAAAATATGGAGGCATCATAACTGTCTATTCCAGTAATAAACTATTACAATAAACCAATAAAACAGTAATCTTGTTCCAGTCTGCAATAGAATGAGGTTGTATATAGCTCTAAATCCAGAGGATTCCAGTGCCAAGCAGATAATCTATCTTATCTCTCATTAAGATATACTCCTGTGATACTGTACAGGAAAGAAAACTAGGCAACTGGATACCATCAAAATGCACACAGCTTGTTTGCAGTAATCAACTATATTGTAGTAATAAAGATGCTAAAGTCACTTAAGTTTATTATTTTCTCACAAGTTTCTTCAAAACACACAACAACAAACACATCTGTTCCGAAATGTTCTGATAGGAACGTCCCCTTGAATTGTATCCCTGCTGTTGTTCAAGAAATGAGGGCAGATTTTGCACGCTCTCTGTGACTAACTGACGCCGAAAGTCCCAGTGGAATATCCCTTGTGCACGAGCTGTTCAAAGAACCCTTTAAAACAGCAAATGCCTCAGGACTGTCTCTGTAAATGTAAATAATTAAGAGATATTTTCCGCAGTTTCTTAAGGATTATGATGGTAAAGGCCACACAAGCCTTTATTGTAGCTATATCTAACATTTGCAGAAATGCGAGAACGTTAAAAGGCAATTTGGCAGGATCAGATGAATTTAACAGGTAATATATCAAGTAAACAAACATGAAATGTAAACAAAACAAACAAATAATACAGAAAATGTAATTTGAGTGTGGTGTAAGAAACGACATGGCCCGAATGGGGAAAAATGATGCAGTTATAGTTAACTACATTTCATTTACTTACCTCATTTGTGGAACAAAAGTCAACGATTTATTACACACACACACATATATATATATATATGTGTGTGTGTGTGTGTTCTCTACATACTTTGTTAGCCCCTTTTTACCCTGTTCTTCAGTGGTCAGGACCCCCATGAACCCTCACAGAGCAGGTACTATTTGGGTGGTGGATCATTCGTGCACCTATATGGTAAGTGGAGCTGATAAAATGGACAATGAGTGTAGAAACAAGGAGGTGGTCATAATGTTATGCCTGATCGGTGTACATATATATATATATATATATATATATATATATATATATATATATATGAATCATTCTACTGAATTGGTTCAAAGTCTAATTAACGCATTCAGACTTTTACTGACTTGGACTTTTGAGTGACCCTATACCTTCATTATGTTTATTTTATTAAAATAAATGTTGGAACGTTTCATTTTTTCACTACCAGTACAAAAATAACGCTACCGAAACTTTACCAAATGTAAGTCAATGGAACCACACTTTTTTCAAAGTCATTTTGGGTCGTTTCTTTTAGTCCATTCATCATGAAATGTACACACAATGTAAAGGCCAACAGGCATTTTCTAATTATGTCAAAAACTGAAAAACATCAAAAATAGAGATACAAAGTTTTCTTTCGACAGCAGCGATATATATACATACAGAGAGAGAGAGAGAGAGAGACAGAGAGACAGAGAGAGAGAGTACATTCTGCTGTACATTCAGTTCCCCTTATCTGAATCCCAGGTGGGGGGAGGTGGTGGTCTGGCTCTGCCCTTCTTTGCATATTCTCAATTGACGAAATGGTGCCAGAGCTCCACCACCCCCACCTGAGATTCAGATGACGGGGTTTGAATAAGCATCCCCTTTCAAAGAGAACCAGGAGAGCAGGGGTTTTATAAAAGCAATCCCAGACTTGAACCACTAAAATTGAAAACTAAGAACCAGCAGTCTTCCTTCAAGCCCTAACAGTACCAGCTTGTGTGCTATAAGGCATTTTTATGCACAGAGTTCTCTACATTAGATCCAAGACTCTGCATTGGATTCCAACCTGATGTTCTGAGAAGCTGCCCAGTTGGCAAAAACCCTTGGATTGGTCACAAAAAATCGACAGTACAATATCTCAACACTGAAAAACGTTAAAGTTCAAGAAAATCTGTGAGTCAGCTCCAATGAGATCAAACCACAGCAATAAGGCCCTGAGATAAGACAAGTTCTCCCCGTAATGAAACTCACGTTATTTTTCCCACCTGTATTCCGTCAAGCCCCGCCTCCTGCGCTACGAACGGCTCTTAGTTCACATTCACGAACATCTCGCGAGCTTGCTCATCAAGTCTGCTAGCGAATCGTTGTGCAGGAGAGGCGATACTTTGAGCCAATCGTGACGCAGGAGGCGGGGCTTGACGGAATACGGGTAGGGGGAAATACTGTAGTGAGGGGCGGAGCCACATTTGAACTCATATAACCAGAACACGGTGCCCGTTCGGTGTAGGCGATTTAACGGAGAGGACGAACTTACTGGACTGAGTTTAGCGGCGAAGTTACTGGACGTGTAGCCAACGAAGAGAAAGATGGGTTACGATTATGGGAAAAACAGGAGCGAGCACCCCGAGCCTATACAAGCAGAGGTGGAAGGTAAGAGAGGACTCGTACACGTCTGTACTGTAAATGCTTGTTTAAAACATCCAGAATGTTGACCTTTGGCATTGATCCACTGAGTGCTGTCCCTGCCTCTAGGTTTGTTTAGTATATGGTCTGCTTTCCTCAAAGTGGACTATTAATGAAAAAGGAAGGATAAGAACAATAGTAATAAGTTTATTTACAAAGAAGTTGCAAACATGGCAATTCAGCTCAAACTGATATGTGAAATCTGATATATGGCCATACATGCACATATATCACAGGGTCAGGCATGCATTTCAAATGTTCATATATTCAAATATTCATTCAGAAAACCATGTATCTTCATTTTTGTCGTTTTTCAGTTTTTGACTTAATATGAAAATGCCTGTTGCCCTTTACATCGTGTGTAAATTTCATGATGAGTGGACTAAAAGAAACGGCCAAAAATGACTTTGAAGAAAGTCTGGTTCCATTGACGTACACTAAAAGTAAAGTAGGTTTTTTCCATCGCCTGTAAAGTTACCATTTTGAAGATACAAGTTTTTCTTCCAACAACAGCGATATATACATGTATATATGCACAATATATGGACCATACACATACGTCTGATACAAACACCAAAGACTTTTTTAAAAACAAAAAATCTAAATGAAATACACCAGCAAACTTTATGCAATAAAAAACCTTATATAACATGAAGCTAGTATATATGGGTCCTATAGGCCATCCATATATGATTAATGCTTTCCATCATATATTAAACAAGTGTGTTACACATATATGTTTATATATGGCGATATATGACTGAAATATATGTCCCACAAAAAAGTTCAAATAAGTTGCCATATAGGTCACATATATGACCATATGTGACTGACATAAGTTGGATATGAGGGAAATCCATATATGCTGACATATGTCACATATTTGAAATCTATATATTGCCATATATAATTTCAGTATGGAATTAAAAGAATTTTCACAGAATTACAGTTTTCTCCTCACCACAAATTTAGTCAAGGGCCAAGACATGTTTGGTGCGTAAAGTTGGCTTCGCATTTCAGCTATTAGGCTAATATTAGTAAAGGATTTTGGGTGACATAGACTTGCATTACTATTTACTGACATTAGCCTTATATCTCTCCATATGTATGACATAAGGGGAAAAATATGTAAACAACTAATAATTTGTGGTTGTGTGAGGGAGCTGAGGCATCACTGGAGTTCACTCAGTTTGAACTGTTTTGTTGACCTGACCTAAGAAGCAGAACTAAACATGCAGGTTTGTTAAGAGAACTTTTTTTTGGGTAAACTAAGTTGAGAAAAAAAAAAAGCTTTGCAAAACACTGACTTAACATTTCAAGTTGACCTGACTTTACATTTTTACAGTGTAAGAATTGTGCAATAGTTGTGGTAAAATATTTTGATTAATGTGTATTAATGGATTAATTATTGTGGAAATGATCTTCAGTTTTGAATTAAGTAAATTCATAAAATATTGAATTTTCTGATATTTCTGCAGGTTCTCTTCCTGAGTGGCTTCAGGGGACTCTTGTGCGAAATGGCCCTGGTCTCTTCTCGGTTGGAGAGACTTCTTACAACCACTGGTTTGATGGAATGGCGCTCATGCACAGCTTCACAATCAAGCATGGTAATGATCCTTTCACATGTCTTTTCATGGTCAACTAGATGGTTTAGTGTTAATTCTTCTGATCTGAAGACTCAATAAGTGGGCCCTATTTTAAAGTTAGGTCGGTTTTATTTTCCTTTTATTCCATTTCTATACAGAATCTTGTTTGGTTGGGGCTTAACTGGTTAACCTATTAAACCAATGCTTCAGGTTTCCACTCTCATACCTACATGAATACATGTTTCATAGTAGTTAATGAATATGAAAGATTCATAACGGACAAATTATTTATAACTGCCTCATAACAGAATAATAAGACTATACACCATAAAAACATGGCTCTTCAGGGGTTCTTTAGTAAAGACAATGTTTCTATATGGAACCATGAACACTAATAGAACCATTTGCATGCTTAAAAGATTCTTTGCATCATGAAATGGGTTTTTAGATTGATAGAGGGGTTCTATATAGCACCGAAAAGGGTTCTTCTGTTGTTGCAAGCTTGACATCATAACAATAGCAGAACCCTTTTCAGTGCTATACAGAATCATTTTCAAAAGGGTTCTATATAGAATCATATGCAACACATTCTCCATCAGTCTGAAGAACCATTGTGTGATTTAAAGAATCCTTTAAGCATGCAAAGGGTTCTGTTAGTGTTTATGATTCCATATAGAGCCATTGTCTTTACATTATTTTGGATTGCTATGAGGGAACATATTCAAATGACATTTTATACCTTGCAGGCGAGGTTACCTATAGAAGCAAATATCTCAGAGGTGACACTTACAACAGCAACATGCAGGCCAACAGAATAGTTGTGTCCGAGATGGGGACCATGGCTTATCCACATCCATCTAAAAACATATTTTCCAAGTAAGTCATCTAGTCCAATTATTTTGTAAGTGCAAAGTGCTCCGGGACTGAGGCAGTTCTAATAAACCCATAATCTTTTTTAATTCCAGAGTGATCACCTTTCTCAACCACACGGTTCCAGACTTTACAGACAACTGTGCTGGCAATATAATAAAATATGGAAATGACTACTATGCCACATCTGAAACCAACTACATTCGCAAAATTGACCCTGTGACCCTGGAGACACAAGACAAGGTGAGAGATGTTCTTTATAAGCTGCATCCTTTTTGAATGAATAGCCCAGAGTTTTAAAAAATGAAGTTGGTGAACATTGTATGAAATCGATGTCTCTAAAGCAGGAGTCTCAAACCAAATTACCAGGGGGCAACTAGCCAGGTGGTCTTCTACAAGGAGGGGCCTATAAGTTTTTATTGTTCAGTTAAATCAAGTAAGCTAACATTTAACAGTAGAATTATATTGGACTCTTATTGTGATAGCATTGCCATTCCTGCTGAACACGAGTGAAGTTATTGGAAGTGAAGTGTTGGTAATGGACAGTGGTTAAATCTGCATTCTCGTTGGACAGTTCCATTCATGTCTTAATTCTGACGCGCTGTAACTACCACCCAGCAATGAATGAATCCACAAAGGCAGATTTTACTATCAGCCTAAATTAGAATAATAGATAAGTTAGTTACGGCTAAATTACAGCCACGCCTGCTCGTGAGCAGAGTTCATGCTGCATCAGGGTTTTGTTTGAATTGCTCTGCTTGTATACAGTGCTCTATTTCTGCTTTTGTAAGCATCAAATAAGCAAATTCTATATAGGTTATGTTCAGTAACCAGCAATAGGGTCAGGTGGATGAAGCGAATTAACCCATCAGATGCAAATATTTAGCATATCTAGCCACAAAAAAATGAAAAAAAAGAATTTTGTTATTAATCAATGTGAATTACAAATCAGTAGGTTGTAATGTTTGTAAATTACAAATCAGCATTTTAATGTAAATTGTATAAATGTGTCAATTATGGCCTAAAAAACATTATTTAGCTGGGTAGCTGGCATTCTAGCATTGTACTAGTTTCAGTTGTGTTTCACATTGTACAAAAGGTTGGAAATAGTAGCACAATTGTTGGAGAATATTGTGTTATTGTGTTATTTTAGTTGTATATTAATATATTAGTAATTTTGCTCCATCTGTGCTCCATTGACATCTGTGGGGTGTCTAATTTTGGTGCCATACCTTACTTGAGAAAGATGCATGTAAAACATCAACAAAAGCTGTTTTTGAGGGATAATATCGGACTATTGTTTTAAGAGCGTTCGTTCTTTTTGTCCAGGTGGATTACCAGAAATACCTTGCAGTGAACCTTGTTACGTCACACCCACATTACGATAAAGAGGGAACCACCTACAACATGGGGACATCAATTGCAGACAAGGGCAAGACGAAATACATGATATTCAAGGTTCCTGCAGTGGGGAAAAGTAAGTACATAGTGGAGGTTTCACTGACTTTGTTGAGATTTTTCAGAAATGATTATTCTGAAACTTGTTATTTGCAACTTGTAAGCAGGAAAATTACCCATACTCCATCTCTGTAGGTGCCTCTGAGGAGTCTCCAGCCTTGAAGAACGTTGAGACCATCTGCACGTTGCCCTGCCGCTCTCTCCTGACCCCGAGTTATTACCACAGCTTCGGCATGACTGAGAACTACTTCATCTTTATTGAGCAGCCCTTAAAGCTGGACATTCTCAAAATGGCCACTGCCTACCTGAGGGGGGTCAACTGGGCCAGCTGTTTAAAATTCCACCCCGAGGATGAAGTAAGCATTATCTGATTTGTGTGTCGACTCTCAAAAATGAAGGTGCCAAACACCACTTATTGGAGAAATGCATGGATGAGCCTGCGTTGGTTCCCTAAAGAACCTTTCAATGGATAGTTATTTAAAGAGCCCATGTTTGTTGTTGATCATTGCTCTTTGTGATGTCACCTCTTCAGTCTACAACAGTTGAGGCTTGGCGTTTCAGTCTGCACTGCTTTTTGAATGAGGCATAGTACAGGACAGCCAATCAGAGCAGAGGTTATTTAAATATATTGTCACTTTTGGAACAAAACCTGATTTGTCTAATATGGGAACTTTACAGGAGGAGGTTTACAGGATGCTGTGCCTAACTTGGAAGCTAATAGTTTCTTTCCAAACTATTTTGAAGCATTTCTACTGGTCCTTTCATCATGAAATTGTGACACAATGTAAAGGGTAATGGGAGTTGTTAAATTATGCAAAAATGTAACATATGACAAGGTTTGCAACAGCGATAATATTAGTCTTAAAGTTATAGCAACAACCTGTTTGATTCTATAAGATAAAGAGAGGAAAATAGTTGTGTAAAAATGAATTATAACTATAATACTATAATACTTCCAAGTCATTTTGGGTCATTTCTTTTAGTCCAATCATCATGAAATTTACACACAGTGTAAAGAGCAACAGCTATTTTCAAATTATGTCAAAAACTGGAAAACGTCAAAAATGGACATATGAGGTTTTCTTCCGACAACAGCGATATAATGTGGCATGTGAGCCAAGTGATTTTCTTCTAAGTTGGATTTCATTCCTTTTTTATTTCTGCAATAGACCCTGATTCACCTCATTGACCGAAAGACAAAGAAAGAAGTTGGCATGAAATACTACACCGGATCAATGGTGGTATACCATCACGTCAATGCTTTTGAAGAGGATGGTCATGTGATATTTGATGTGATCGCCTATGATGACAACAGCCTGTATGACATGTTCTACCTCGACAAGCTAAAAGAGCAAGACACATCTGGCCCCAGCAAAACCTTTAGCAAACCTAAGTGCAAGCGATTTGTGCTGCCACTTAATGACAAGGTACTTTGGTTTTCATCATCGTACTCCTGGTACTGTAATGTGAAACCTCAAAATAAAATATGAACAGTAACATGTTTGTATCATTCTGTAGGGTGAGGCAGGAGAAGACCTGGTCAAGTTAAAATACACAAAAGCAAGCGCTGTAAAAGAAAAGGAAGGGAAAATTCTCTGCCAGCCAGAAGTGCTCACTGAAGGTAATTTATCATTAAATTAAGTCAAATTGATCCTACTCTGTACTATGTACCTCTTTTAATGTAATCTGATTCTGTTTGGACCTTACCAGGTGTGGAACTTCCCAGAATCAATTACAACTACAATGGACAGAAGCACAGATATGTTTATCTGACGGTTGCAGAGAAGGCTGAATCCACAATGGTGAGGAAAATAGCCTTTACTAACATTTATGTTAAGCAACATGCCTTAGTCAATTTATTTTAAAGCTGCACTAAACAAATTTCTGAATGTGTAGAGCTCTCTGGTGGAAATATATAATTGGAAGCAACTTGCAGAAGAACATTTTCATAGCGTCATGAGTGGATCATTCAGGAAAACTGGGGTTGGCATGTTCAAACAGTGACGTAAAGTAGATGACTGTGGGGTTTGGCCTCTAGCCCAAGGACTCTTACTGGTATGACAGTGGCATTCCTGCCTGGACTAGGATTCTGGTAGTAATAGTATATGGTCTTCAAATCCAGACCAGCTTCCAGTCTAGGATTTTCTAATTCACATCTGCACATCATTCACATCTGCACTGTTAGCTAGGCCTGTGGAACCTGGGAATTCAGCCCATTTAGTCAGACCATTTTTTGAGGTCGAGTGTGTGTTGTCAGTAAATACTGTGGCAAACTGTAACTGTTAGAGGTTGGTCTTTAATTCGGGCCATAAATGTCAAAATTTGGTCAATTTGCATGATCATATTTTATAGACATTATAAGCTTGTAAATGACATCTTATGTTTTACTTGAAGCAGCTGACAGACATATTAGCATATATTGTACCTTTTAGTTTTTTGGTTGCTAGATTTCTCTGTCACTTCGTAATTATGCTGATAGTTAATCTAATGTGTTTGGACTTCTCTTCAGTTTATATAGTCCCAACCAATAGGAGAGCTCGCTTAGCTCTCTGTCTAGATACCATGGAGAAAAACAATTCCTGATTGGTCGTTTTTCATTTTCCACTGGGTGTTTCAAGAACTTTTTTCCATACAAAACTTAACAACGAAAGCACAGTACTGTAATATTTGCAGAGTATTACTGTAATACTTTTTTAGTTCCCAGAAATCATTGTTAGGCTCTGAGAGACCAAAAAATTCCAAACAAATCCATCTAAACCAAAGCCAAGGCATCCTTTTTTCTCTACTGACTCAGTAAGGCTAATGCTACTTAATCTTTTGTTAACAAAAAATTGATATAGTGCCGTTTTGATAGGTTATATTAAATGTAGTAATACTATAAAATCTTTGCATAGATTACCAAGCTGGATGTTGAGACGAAGCAGCGGCTTGACTGGACGGCAGAAAACTGCTTTCCCTCCGAGCCTGTGTTCATTCCCAGGCCAGGTGCAACTGAAGAGGATGATGGTGAGCTATTAAGAATCGTGAGCGTTTCCTATTCGTGTTTAATTTACAGGGCAAAGCAGTTTTTATTTGCCTTTATTTGTCTGCTGTTTGTGTTTAGGCGTAATCCTGACTTCAGTCATAAACTGCATTCCTGATGAGTCTGACTATCTTCTGGTGCTCGAAGGAAAGTCTTTCAAAGAAGTGGCACGAGTACACGTCAACGCGGAGCTGCACATAGACATGCACGGCTACTTCATACCACAAAACGATTAAATGCTGGACCTGCTGGTGGAGCGTGTGAAGAGTGAGCAATGAGCTGTTGAAGAGAGACAAGATATTAAAAGAGAAATGGATCAAAATGGTCCGTCAGATTTGCACGAACAGCTACAAACTGTTATTAAAGTTTACAACCATGAAACCACAGGGCTGACCTCAAATGGTCACCCCTTATCTGTGAGCATTCGCAGGTGTGCTGTGTGCTGGGCAGAGAAACACTGCAGACCAGTTCATACACCAATCAGGCATAACATTATGACCACCTCCTTGTTTCTACGCTCATTGTCCATTTTATCAGCTCCACTTACTATATAGGTGCACTTTGTAGTTCTACAGTTACAGACTGTAGTCCATCTGTTTCTCTGCATACTTTGTTAGCCCCCTTTTACCCTGTTCTTCAGTGGTCAGGACCCCCATGGACACTAACAGAGCAGGTACTATTTGGGTGTTGGATCATTCTCAGCACTGCAGTAACACTGATGTAGTGGTGGTGTGTTAGTGTGTGTTGTGCTGGTACGAGTGGATCAGACACAGCAGTGCTGCTGGAGTTTTTAAACACTGTGTCCACTCACTGTCCACTCTATTAGACACTCCCACCTTGTCAGTCCACCTTGTAGATGTAAAGTCAGAGACGATAGCTCATGTGCTGCTGCACAGTTTGTATTGGTCATCCTCTAGTCCTTCATCAGTGGTCACAGGATGCTGTTGTCTGGATATTTTTGATTGGTGGACTATTCTCAGTCCAGCAGTGACACTGAGGTGTTTAAAAACTCCAGCAGCACTGCTGTGTCTGATCCACTCGTACCAGCACAACACACACTAACACACCACCACTACATCAGTGTTACTGCAGTGCTGAGAATGACCCACCACCCAAATAGTAGAAACAAGGAGGTGGTCATAATGTTATGCCTGATCAGTGTATATCAGTGAATTAAACTGATCATCTGTCATTTTGTTATTTTACTGTATTTCCGTCACTTTTCGTTCTTTGGTTTTGACATATATTTTTAATGTATAACGCAGTCATTTAAATGTAGATGTCCAGGTTTGTTTAGTGAAGTTTACAGATACATTCACTGTGAACCTGAATGCAACTGTGGTCTCTCTCCCCAAAAGTGAGATCCTTCCCATCACCCAAGGGTACAGTTTTCCTTTGATTCATATCTACACTCTTAGAAATCAATGTGACCGTATGCTTTGGAGCAAAGCCATGGATGAACCACTGAATAAGTGAGTCTTTTTGTAAATGTGATATTTGGTAGTGATTAAACTGATTAAACGGTTTTATATCAATTGAGGTTTTTTTAGGTACATTGAAGCCAAGAACCATTTAGGAACAGAATCCTTTTCCATGTGGCCTTCTGTAAATTCTACTGACCTGACAAGCTTGACTTTTGGCTTCTCTGGCCCTCCTGCTTTGTCAAACCCTCCACTGGCATTGTTTCTACTTTTGTTATGATTCAAACATCTTAATGGCTTACCTGATAAAAGTCTCCTCACATTTATAAAGGATTGTTATTTCTTTTTTAAACAGTCACTTGCTGTTTTGCATTGCAGCATTCCTTTCACATTCCATGCCACATTCTAAACTGATGCATGTCCAGTATAAATCTTATTCTGTGCAATTTTATCAAGTTAAAACCTGGTCTCCGTCCATGAACTGGACGCTAATTTGTTAGGCTGATTTTAACTGAAGGTGAACCTCTGGTACAGCTGCCCTTGCAGTTTAGGGTTTAGGACTGCAGGTCAGCTGGCCAGGACCATGTTTTAACTTATCTGTCCAATAAGATTGAACTCAGAAAATGTATTATGGAATTAAGCAACTTCTTTCCTTCTACATAATAGCCTATATTCCCTATTATGATTATTTACTAATTTTCATGTGCTGTACACGTTTAAATGTAATACACTGTTTGATAAATGAAAGAATGCAACTGTTATTTGAGTGTGTGTGTGTGTGTGAGAGAGAGAGAGAGAAAGAGAGTAGATTTAGTACTGTTTAAAGTGACGGGACAACAGAAGCAATACCTTAAAATCAAAATGCAAAATCTTTTGTAAGAAAAATAAATAAATCTTGAAGTTCAGTTTGTCGTACATGCCTTACATGTAAAAGTAAAACTTTATGTCCCTATATGTAAGAATTGAAGTCAGTTTTTATATGTAATAAATTAATATAAACATGTAACAATGAAACAAAATGTAATTTTTACTTGTAAACACTGATTTACCACAATTTAATTCATACTAGCAAAACTGCTCCTCTGATTATAGGGTTATAAGGTATAATTCCTACTAGTGCAATTCAAATTTTTACATGTTATCATGTTATATTCCATTTTACTAGGATTAATAACATTTTTACTTGTTCAAACCACTTCGTATTAAAGGGTCCATATCCTACATATTGTTAACATGATACCTCTTTTCCCTGAGGTCCACTTATAATGTTTAACCACGTAAACCATGTGTGTATATATATATATATATATATATATATATATATATATATATAAACTCCAGTACCACTGCTGTGTCTGATCCACTCAGACCAGCGCAACACACACTAACACACCACCACAGTGTTACTGCAGTGCTGAGAATGATCCACCACCCAAATAGAACCTGCTCTGTGAGGGTCCATGGGGGTCCTGACCACTGAACAACAGGGTAAAAGGGGGCTAACAAAGTATCCAGAGAAACAGATGGACTACAGTCTGTAATTGTAGAACTACAAAGTGCATCTATATAGTAAGTGTAGCTGATAAAATGGACAGTGAGTGTAGAAACAAGGAGGCGGTCATAATGTTATGCCTTATCAGCTGTATAGGCTGGACAGTGAACTTTAACAATGTTTACTTACTGCATCAAACTCTTTAATTTCGGTTTTTTAATTATATTGGTCCTTAAATAATAACAACACAGTTTAATATTATGTGGTGAACTTCAGCTTCGGCAGGGGGCGCCAAAAAACAGCCAAGAGGACTTGGGTTGAGGGGTTACGTAATATCCCTGCGCCTCCGAGTGCAGGACATGACTTTTAAAACGGGGCTGCGAAATTTGGAGGATTTTTATCACTGAAACCGATTCAGTTCCACGATGTCCTTTTCCAGTCTACTGAGATGCAAAGTAACTTTCTATCTGAAGCCTTTTAGACTGCATGACATTCAGATCTAGTGTTGTTTTAGCGATCAGTTAGTTAGCTGGCTAGCAGAGTTAGCCACTGCTGACCGGCTGAAGAGCTCGTGTCTGTTATGAATATGGTTCCAGTTTCGACCCAGATAAAGACGTTAACGTAGCTATTTATTCGAATTTTCCGTTCCACCTTAAATGGTGCCGCAGTTACGTTCTGGTGTTCTCTAAAACCAGAAGCGCCAGCATGTAACTGCTGCACCATTTAAGGTGGAACGGGGTAATTCGAACAAGAAGCTGGCGAATAGACAGCCAGCTTCAGCCTCGTACGACGACTTGCTGTTAAAGTAGCAAAATATATATATATTATGAATGGAGGTGTTCAATACTAATCAGCCCCTCACCCGTGTTTATATGCACACGCAGACTCTGCTGTCGTTACCGTGCAGAACCGCGTTAAGGAGGTTCTCCACTCAAACAGACGGAGAAGTCCGGATTGCAAAGGTACTGAAAGAGAAGTTTCCGCTCGCGACTTCGCTGAAGGTTGTGGACATATCAGGTGAGCTTTTCGAGGATTAATGTCCAGAATGTTCTGGTGCTCTCGGTGCACCGTCTGACCGCAGTACGTGTTTGGCTGTTTGTCTTCAGCTCTGTCTCTTATCTGTTCGTCCAGGAGGCTGCGGCGCAATGTATGAAATACACATCGAGTCAGACGAGTTCAGAGGGAAGAGAACAGTGCAGCAACACCAGTTAGTGAATCAGGTACATCCGGAGTTGAAAGACCTTTTACAAGGTTAAAGGGGTATTCCACCCATTTTTCAAAATTTTTGCATATTTGACAGAGCCATTCAGAGAGGTTTGTTGTGAAATACTTAATTCTAGAGAAACTTAATCTTTCCCCTTTAAGTTTAACAGCATAACACCTAAAGACGTTTTTTAAAGAGCCCATATCCAGTGTTTTTTCTTGTACTTATTTATTTCCCCTCTGGGGGTTTGTAAACCAAAAACAGTCAAAATTCATTTTTTGATGATTATTCTCCAGCTGCTTTTTATCCCTTAGAATTAAACAAGACTGTTTTTAGGTACTGCACCTGCCAGCCCTGTATTGTGCCTCAGAATCAGTCCAACACTGCTTATAACTTCAGTGTAAATGGGCGGAGCTAAACTGCAGTAGCCTATATAGGTGAATATGAGTGAACGCTTTGGGTTTTGTGACATTACAGAATCAAAGAATTTAAAACGGGCTGTTTTTTTTAGCCCAAATTCATTAGATGGGCACTATGGGGGTAGGGTGGGGAGTGCAACAGTTTGTTTTGAAACTTCAATAATGTTTACATAACGTATTGAACTATTCTATTTCTGAAAATATTGGTTTTCTGTGCTATGGACATTTTAAAAATGGCTGCCTTTGATTGTTAAAGTATTAGAAGTGCTTTTAACAGCCCAGTGTACTTTCAGAAGCTTCAGAGTGTCATTACATTGAGTCTATGAGGTCAGGTATTTTAAAGGTGATGTGATGCATGTGGCACATTGTAAGAAAAAAGATTTAACTATAAGCCTTGTCTAAGATGTATTGTTTGCACATATAAGGACAAAATTAACATTTTTCTATTTACACATTTCTTTGATTAGTTTACAGTTATCAACACTGTTGCATTTGGTTTACTGGTATGTTTTTTTTTGCATGTCAGACATGTTGTTTAAGGTTTTTGGTCCCATAACAGGTTAATAAAGTTCTATCCTCTGTCTTTATTATCATTCGACAGGCACTCAAGGAAGAGATTAAAGGAATGCATGGACTGCGAATATTCACCGATGTTCCGCAGAAGTAGACTCAGCTATTGTTCACTACACACAGATCTCTACTATGCTAGTCAACTCTTGCACCAGAGTATCATATTCCAATGATTCCTTTGAAGCACTTCAAGTAAATTATTACAAGCTATTTAAAGAAGTATGAAATATCAGGGAAATCTTTTAGAGAAAATGGTGACATACAACATTAATAGCAAACGCAATAGTTTGCATTCTGCTACCGTACGCACAACATGCGTCTTTTGAACGCTGTAATACGCACAAAATGATACAGTATGACAGTGTAGCATCAGTCACGATGACACACTGTTGTATCCTGAGTAAGAGAGGACCTAGCAAGCAACTGAATATGCAGGGTATAACTGATTTATATGTGAGACCAGTGATTTTGGACAGACTTTATAGTTTTGTTATGACTTTAAATGAGACCTAATCTTCTGTTGCAAGTCTGAGACTTGTTTTTCATCTGTGCTGTTTTTGTGATTAGGAGCTAAAAGCCATTAAATCACATACAATTTATTTCTGTTTATTTCTGAGTCTATTGGGCTTCATTTATTTGATTCCGTTTATAGGCTTGAATCTGAAATGTTTTTCTTGCTGCTGGTCATTCAAACAGACCTTCTTGAGGGATTTTAGCATAAAAGTCCTGTTAAAATGACCTGAGTAACACGATTAACCACTAGGTGGCAGGTTTTCCTCAACAACGATGAAATAACAATCAACCTGTCATAGCTGTGCACAGTGCTTCATTTTGTTAAGGATGAACAATTTTTATGTTTTATTCCTTTTTGAATGTGCACATAAAGATTGAGGGTTGAAAACTTGTATTAAATATTTGTGTGAAACGTAAAGGGATGAGAAAGGTTGTCAAAATAATGGTTGCGTTCTGCAATAAGTCTGTCAGTATTTTGAAAAAATGGCATCCATGCAGCTTCTCGACATGAGAGACTCCCTACTTGTGAAGTTCACTTATTCATGAAGATAGAATGAGTGTTGCTCAGAATGATCATACTTAAAACAAGGCTAAGCAATTGCTGATCTGTCGTGTGCAGAATTGCTGGAAAAAAGGAAACAACCTGTGTTATGTAGATATACAGTCATATGCTAATTATGTTTTGTCAGAGGCCCTTCTTTATTTGCTGAATTTAATGTAATGGGGGGAAAAATAAAATGTAAAATGTGGCCTGTGCAAAAGTTATGGCACATCTTATATTTCATGTTTTGTGTTCAATAAAATAGATCCAAATTGTGCACTAAAATTAGCAGAAAAAATACTGTATTGAAGTTTGTTCTATGCAAATAATGTGTATTTATTTTCACTTAGAAAACCAACAAGATGTGTAATACAACTGTATGAATTATCATCAAACTTGAATACGGCTCAGGGAGTGTTTGAATCTGAGCAAGTTAAGCGATTTGAAAATGCATGTGTGCGGTTTTTGCATGCAATCTGCTGGAAGCGCTACAGATTATTTTTGGGGTCTTCCCACTTGTACCAGAATAAACCAGCAGCCCTGTGTAAAGAGTTTTGTAACAGATTGGGATAAGAGAGTTTGGATGAAAAAATGTTTGTGAGTGAACAAAATCAAAAGCAACTCCAATGCTTGAAACTATCCATGCAAACCACTACAAAACACTTAACATACGCTTTGCAGTGTGTCTTAAGTTGTTTTATTTGAAACATGCGATTCTTACTACAGTCTTAATGCATTTGCTATCACTTTTCATTCCATTGTGTTAAAGGAATTGCTGTTTCGCACTGAACCATGAATTGCTTAGTCATATTTTGGTGCATCATACCTTTGGGATAGCACCCTGGTATTATACGTAGATTAAAGGGACACTCTGGAACAAAAGAAAAATGTGACCTTCGCTAAATCTGTTGCTTACTCACTTTACAGCGGTGCCACTGTAATCTCTAGAGTGAAATTTTTCTAGTTTGAAAACCCTCTTCTGATGACGTAACTTGAAGGTGGGAGGAACCACCGTAATGTTTCGGCGAAAAAGTTGAGTATTACGTCTCTATTTATTACCCTCCACATCAGTGGCTATGCTTTGAGGTGGTTCCCAATGGTTGTATCACATATTTGTGAAAAGCATGCCGGATAAGGTAGGGGCGGCACGGTGGCGCAGTGGGTAGTGCTGTCGCCTCACAGCAGGAATGGCCTGGGTTAGGACCAGGGTCATTTCTGTGTGGAGTTTGCCTGTTCTCCCCGTGTCTGCGTGGGTTTCCTCCGGGTACTCCGGTTTCCTTCCACAGTCCAAAGACATGCAGTCAGGCTACTTGGACATGCTGAATTGCCCCTAGGTGTGAGTGTGTGTGTGAATATGTATGTCTGTCTGTCTGCCCTGCGATGGACTGGCGACCTGTCCAGGGTGTATCCTGCCTTCTGCCCAATGACAGCTGGGATAGGCTTCAGCACCCCACCACGACCCAGAAGGATAAGCGGTTTAGATGATGTATGTATGTATGTATATGCCGGGTAAGGTAGTGAGACAATACTGCTGGAAATAAAAAAACATGAATTCTCTCAAGCCGATGAGGCTGAAAAACGCATTTATTGTGCTGAAATGTTTCTTTTTTAATCCACAAAAACACAAATAACAGTGTTTTAAATCAATACTCCATTACAGAATAGCCTTTGCGCCAAGAATGACCTTTAACAGTAAGATTCTAAGAATCCTTAAATCTTTGCAGTGCACTGGCATGCAGAGGAAAAATGATTCATCTCCATAAGTGCTGTGAAGTCAACTGCGGACGCAAAGAAGATGGATGCTGCAGACCTGAAGGATCAAACATCCCTTTCATTCCATTCACTGTGCCTGTAATGTCAGTATAAAAATATTTTAGTTGAGAAGCTTGTTAAACCAAAATCTTTTTACTATTGCAAATAATATTAGTAACACTTAGAGTAGATATAAAAAGCAGGCTGTCAAAATTAAGTTCCAATAGTCTAGAAAGGATGCAAGAATTATTTAGGTTCAAAGATACTGATTTAGGGTTTCATGTGTGAAAAATCTCATAGCAATTCCTTCACGATTCAGTGCACCTCTGAGAAACGATTTGACCTTGCTTAAACAGAAAAACCCCATGTTTTTAGAAGAGCCTTCCGTTTTGTGCCTCTACCGTAAGTCTCATAGAAGCGAGTCTTTCCACTCTGTAAAGGTCCAACAGTGATGGGCATTACGATTCAATGCACTGAGTCGATTCTTTCGAACTTTCCGTCAAAGTGAATCGAACGACGCGAGGTTCACCACCCACGGTGGACATTTGGGCCAACCTCACAGTCTCGTTTGTTCAGTTCTTCTAGCTGTAAAACTGCCTGTTTTGTCAGGGCCAGCAAAGTTTGTGTGTGGGTGACAGCAAGCATGTTCGGGCCGGATTACCTTGGCCGTCACAAAATCTTCCTGGTAGTCGCATCTGCACTGCGCCACATTTGGGCCAAGTACCTGTTAACAGCGCTGCATACTGTGCCGGTCAGCGGACTCGGAGCGCATTCGGGCCGCATCTGTACAAACAGACGCGCCTCATTTAAAATTGGCCCCTCCCCTTTTTTCAGTGATCTGCAGTCGTCAGTTGACTGTAACCGTTACTTTCTGCTGAATTTTGAGGTAAGATGTAGTTTGTATTTTACATATTTCCACATTTATTAGAATTACGATCAGGTATCTTGGATTTCATCGTTTAACTTTTAATGTTATTCAATTTGACAAGCAAATAAGCTGAATGGTGGAGTTGCTAGAGGGGAGGACATCAATGCTAGCTAACTAGTTAGCTAACGCTAACTATGTTATCTGAGGTAGGTTAAGTCAAAATGTCTAATTCCAACCTGAATTAACATTATATATTTCTCTTTAATTATGTTTAATAACGGCATACTCTTAATCTTACATTGTTTCTCTCGCCTGGCTGTGTAACTAACTAACCTAACCTAGGTTAGCTAGCTAAGCTAACTAACCTAGCTGGGTTGTACTATGAGAGGCAACTGTTAGCATTCATTGGAAAATGTGAAAATGTTCTAAGAGCATTTTTAATATTTCTGCCTGTTTTAGGGGAAAAAAATTAACAAGTTTAATCAAAAACAGAAGTGAATTTGAGTGACCAATGTAAGAAACATCCATAAGCTAGAATTTAAAGTTAACCTGTATTGTGGTGTGTGGAGATGTAGCTATGTAGCTTAGCCATCTAACTTATCTAGCCAGCTAGCTGAGCTGTATGAGCAGAGTGCAAGCACTATCGTTAGTTTAACCGTCTTATTTTTTATTTGCTTTATTGTAGTGTCAGATTTGTCTGTTATTTACTCAAAAGCATTTGTAAAATCTACAGTAACACGACCGCTAAAGAAATGGTAACATTGCTTTGAATTATTTTTTTCCGTGAAACTGCTGAAATAACATATACCAGTAAAAGAATCCTCTTATTTGGTTAAAAGTGTGGAAAATAACCCTCAGAAACAGTCAACACGCGTTTCCCTTTGCTTAATCTTGTATTTGACGAAGCTTCAACTCGGACTCGGGGTCTGTCTGAAAATATTCAATATTACGAAAAGAAAGTGTTTCTGCTATCATCATTAGCATTATTATTATTGTCTCTGTATGAACATCTGCTGATAATTTCAGAAGCATCAGCAGAGGTATTTACAGAGATACTAAAGCTACTACTAGTAATATTACTAGCTTCACTTGTTTCGTCTTGTAATTTTGAGACGGTCTCTGACTCTGAAGCAGACGCGGGCAAACTGTGATAGCGTGAGTTGAACCTTTTGGCAAAAATAAAAGGATAGAAAGAAGAACAAGAAAAGAATGGCGCAGTGGGTTTTTTTGTTGTGTTTGTCATCTTTAATTTGGCAAAGAAAGTGTAATTAATCCATTAAGACCGTCCGATGTGGTTTGTGTAGCCTGATGATGTGAAAGCAGAGATATGGCCGTATTTCGGCTCGAGACCTGTTTGTTCTTATTTGGATTCAGTTAAAAAAAATGCTGTGTCGAAAACTATAATGATATTCAGTAAACCTTTTATATTTGGTTTTATATTTCCCTTTTTGTATTTACCTTTAAGAAACACTCATTATTAATGATTTGTGAATAATTATGTGGGATATGGAGCTGTTGCTGACTCTGGAACGGATCCGGTGCAGATGCAACAAGTCAGGGCCGGATCCGTTCCAGAGACAGCTGCTTATATCAACTTGAGCTTGAACCTCTTCTGAGCTGGGTTTCCGTACCACATTTCGACCAGATATGAAGATAATATTTAGACCTGCGCCAATTCAGGGCCAGATGTAACGCTGTTCTTTGCTCATATGGGCCGCCTTTTAATCTGTTTTGGCGCAGATCCGTAAAACGGATCAGTTCAGGTAAGTTATTGGGCTGTTGTGCAAAAAAAAAAGACACCGGGCTTTTTTTTTTGCGGATCCGGACCGGATGCAGCGCTACATTTGGCCCTAAATCAGGCGCAGTGTTCGTTTGTTGTCTGATGAATCGTTTCGCCCGGTTCATTTGGAAGAGTCGTTCAAAAAGAGCGATTCGTTCATGAATCGCCCATCACTAGAGACTTGCTGGAGAAGCATCGGGAAGACCGTTAGTTAAACTGCTGCTCTCTTCTGGTCAGCATACCGAACCTACAGACATGGCAAAGGAAGGACCGGAGATGACAGAGGAGACCGAACACATGATAGAGAAGAACGGGGCGAAGGAGCCGGACAGCGCGGTGTGTGCGGCGGATTCGAAAGAGATGCGGGCTGTGCTGCTGACGGGCTTTGGAGGTCTAAACAAACTCAAAGTGACCAAGAAGCTAATGCCTGAGCCCCAGGAAGGAGAAGTGAAGATCCGAGTGAAAGCGTGGTACATGTTTCAGCTTTAGCTTCAGCTGGCTTTTATATATATTTATATTTTTTACGCGTATTTCATTTTCATGTGCACCGTCTGGAGGTGTGAGCGGCGTTACAAACCAGCGCTGTGTCTCAGTAGCAACACGTTGCAGCAGCGTGATTGGCTAAAGCAGCCATAACCATTAGGTGTTTAACGACGAGACGAGTAATTTTTCACGTTTTTTCCGTTATTGAATAGGGAGGCTGTAAGTTCAGCAGGTATCTGGCAGGGAGGTATAGTTGGGAATGGCCTTGAGGTGTGTGGTAAACTACTAATTATTAACAAATATAAGTTAAGTGCATGAAATATGCAGTATACACTTTCACTATTAGGCTACTCGACTAGTCACATGAAAGAATAATCGAACAGTGATAAAGCATATTTAACATTTTACTAATATAGCCTGATAGACACACCCGTTTCTATATATATTTTTAACATATATTATTATATTAAGTCTTTTTAAAATCTTAATTGATTATCTTTTTATGATGAATTATTTTGGAGTCTTTGGAAGGCTGTGTTTTTTTGTTGTTTGGCCTCTGATTAGTCATTAAAAATAATCTGTAGATTATTTGATTGCTAATATAACCAGTAGTAACAGCCCTAAAGAATATTTGAATGTGATAGAAAGTATAAAATACAAAGAAATAAGGTATGAAAGTATATAAATGTGTCATTGAATTGGAGAAGAGTTATGCCATTGCATGCTGAAAACAGTGTGGGTGCCACCATTCAAAGTTATTGCCAGAAAAGCACAGATTGTGGCTGCTAAAAAAAAACAGTTGGTGAAACTGACACAGAGGGTTGTTTCTGAGATTGTGACCCTGACATTTAATTTTACAGCGGGTTGAATTTCCTGGACCTTATGGTGCGTCAAGGGAATATTGATAATCCTCCTAAAACACCTCTCGTGCCTGGATTTGAATGTTCTGGAATAGTGGAGGCTATGGGCGAAAACACGAAAGGCTTTGAGGTAAGTGGCATTACAGTGCACTCATATCTCTGTGATGTAGGGTTTATTAAATGTGAGAAGCCTGTCTGCCCTTCACTTTACCACTTTATGTCGGTCCCATTTAATCAGATTTGCTCCCAGTTATAACCTGATCACCACGACCCATCAACATCTGCACTGAAAACATGGGGCTTTGAATATGCATGATTCAAATGTGTCAAGTGGTTGCACATGAATAAAATGTGTTACAGTCGCTGTCCTTCTGCTGAGGTCTTTTAAGCATGACTTGTGTTGCGCAAGAATAAATTGTTGCATGTTTTATTTTGTGAAACTGAGTGGTGCATCTGAATCACGCAGGTTCACAGTAAAAATATAACATCATGATGATTCTGGTAGGGTTGGACGATAAAACGCTAATGATAATTATCACGATATAACTTTCCTCGATAGAACTGTAAGAGGGATTTGATAAAATTTCGATTTAAGAGACCATCCTCACACTTCCACGTTCTGGCGACAGCCGTGGTGGCGTTTTCTACTGCAAGGAAAGCGACACTACTCTGCTGTCGCCAGGAGAGGGCTCACTTTTTTCGACATGATTAGAGAGGGAGAGGCGATGAGTAAAATGAGTCGCCAAATATACTTTAGCAACGCTTGAAACGTGGAGTTATATATTTCCAGTTTGAGTGGAGCGACCGACGGTCTGTTCTCCTGTGACCAAGTTTGAGTGACGAGATCAGTGGTGTAACTGTACTGTCCTAAAGTGAACTCATCTCTTTCCTTACATCCTAACAAGCTTCAGCAGCGTTAAATCAGGTCTGGTCAAGGTATATATATAGCAAGATTTTTGTATACTTTATATCCACAATAAGCACATTGTTAGGGGCTGCGATGACAGAACAGATCAAATTATCTCAAATGCACAGTGGCAGAGTGACACAACTAGATTGGCGGGAACGTAGCCTTAGAACCGACAACCAGTGACAGTGACATGCAGAACACAAGCCAAAATGAAAAACAAAGCCTTGTTACACTGATTTAACATCACTTGACTTCTTTACAGAAAAGCAGTGAAATACAAAGCACATGTGGCAGTACTTTTCCATAGGTGACATTGTGGAATGTGTGCCAAACTGAAAAGCAGAACCTCTCCTACACTGTTTTCACATCGCTTGACTTCTAATGTATTTGCCTTATCGAAATGCAACCAAAACAGTGAAAGGCAGAGCTCACACAAGACTGCATTTAAATATTAACTTGAGGAAAATGTGCCAAAATGAAAAGTAAAAGATCCATCCATTTTCAGTAAAGAGGTCAAGCGACGTGAAAACATAGAGGGTTAAAAAATAGAGGGTTTGATTTTCATTTTGGCACATTTTCTGCATTTCACTATGGAAAAGAATGTAATGTGTGTTGCATTTCATGTTTTTCCACTGTAGTGGTTGGCACAAATTCCTCTTCATGGGATGTGTGACCTTTAAGGAATTAACCAAACATTTTTTAGTCTATATAGAAAAAGATAGTCAAAGAATACTGACTGTTTTTCAGTGCACAAAAATGCACTTGTGGTAAGTAGCTATTAGTATTTTATTAATTTTATTTTGAACAGTAGAGAATAGTGCTTTTGCAAATTTCTATTATTTTGCTGTTTTCGTAAAGGAGAGGAAAATTAGATTTCTGTTTACAAGAAAATAAAAGAAGAAAAGTCTGTTCCTGCTGCATGCCCAGTCAGAGGCACACTTCTCACATTGTTAAAGCAATGTCCAGCAGCTTTATGGCCATTTTTGCCATTTTAAAAGGTTTTTTCACATGATCTGAAATGGCAGCAGCTGGACCAATAGAAATGGTCCATAATTACGTTAATATTGACTGATGGACGTCATGTTGAATTCGAAAGAAGGCTGGCTTAAGTGGAATATAGTGCATCATTGTGATCTGTATTTGTGTGGTTTTGTTGAGTTACAGTAATAGCCCTACTACTCAGTCTAAAAACTCTAACATTGCTCAAAAAATAAATGAGGTACCAGCTGGCTGTGCAAGCGAGATCACATTAACTGGTCCCCACTAGTTTTCTTTTATTTCTGTCACATTATTTGATCAGTTTAAAGTCTGTCTTGCCTGCTTTCAGATCGGTGACCGGGTGATGGCCTTCGTGAACTATAACGCTTGGGCTGAAGTGGTCTGTACACCGCTGGACTGGGTTTATAAGATACCTGATGAGATGACTTTCCCTGAGGCAGCTGCCTTCTGTATGAACTTCGTGGCCGCCTACATGATGCTGTTTGAAGTGGCCAATCTCCGGGAGGGGATGTCTGTATTGGTTCACTCAGCGGGAGGTGGAGTGGTAAGCCTGTCGGCCTGAGGGTGGCTCTGGGGACATTGAAGTAACACCTGGGAAAAAATGCTTGATATTAGGATTCCATCATTTCAGTATTTTGGAATTGTTTTAAACATTTCTTTCATAACGTAAATATTACTGAGGTGAAGTTCAGCTAAGCTGGTGCAAATAACAGCAATTTAATGTAAAACTTTAGTAGATTGGCCTGTTAAATCCCTGTGGCTCCAAATGTTATTTGACTGTTAGAAGAGCAGACACTAAGGGGCAGAGCCTTTCACTGCATTTTCAGGCACAAATAGGACACATTCTGCCCATGTGTTATGTATAAAACTGGTATACAAGCCTAAATGCTTGGTTTTTGTGGATTGTACAGAAAATGGGTGGAGATTTGTGGCTGATTTCTATCCAGATTTATTTATACAGGATATATTGAAAGTTTGGGATCTAGTAGCAGCCAGTTTTAGTGTAGAAATTTCTATGTTGGTTACACTATTCCACTGTGGCTTTTGAGCGCTGCGCCTCACAATCATAGTGCAGATACCAGGCAGTCTTATACACAGCTTGACTGAATACCTACAGCCTTTAAGAAAAAGGCTAGTTAGGTGAAAAATGATGTTTTTACAATTTTCCACTTACTCCAGATGTAATTGATCAGCCATGACATGCTTGGAGTCCAAATTTTGATTTTTTTAGTTTAGAACTGGAGCAGAGAGGCTAAGGTTGGTAATAAATACTAAAACTCAATAGTCAATAAAATAGCTAAAATTGTTCAGGTAAAAATACATCACAAAATTTTCTCTCAACCCGCTCACACCACCTCCAGGTCTTTGTTAAGGTCACACAGACTTGACATGGTTTAGGACACAGTATGACTTACCGTGAACTGTAACAGTGAACAAAGGCCGCTTTATAAACAAGTTTTTTATTCACGAACACCTCAGATGTAAGAGTGCTGATTTAGAAGCAGTATTTGTAAAAGTGACCATCATAAATATGGAGGAGTCTGATCCAAAATAAGTCCTGTTTGGGAATACCAGCTTTGGTGTTGTCAGAAATGGCCACTCGAATTGAAGTTTTTTCTTTTTTATAGCATTTTTATGGTTATACTGTGCCCTAGTCCACGAGTTCTAGTATTTGTTGGTAACATTAACCTTGTAGCCCCAGGTTAAACTAAAAAAAGGCAAATTTGGAATCTAAACATGTCTTAGATGATCTACATCAGGGTACATGGAAAAATAAATTCCTTCAGTAAATTAAATGTTTTGCTTGGGAAAAGTCTTCTTGTTCAGTAGACAGTAGTTCACGCTACTTGATATGCTAATTCAATATTACTGTGAAGAAAATCAGATTGCTGTCAGGGTTCTGGTATGTTAGCTGTGTAAGTGGCCTTTAAATCGTATATCACTGTACTGTCACCACAGAGATTTCCACTCAGCAAAGTGAAGACATTCTGACATTGTTTCAAATGGCCTCAGTGACATATTTCATTCTGCATTCCTAGGGAACTGCCGCTTTCTGTTTTAGGCCAAAGCTCTCGTCTGCTTTCATGTCTGCTTTTTTGTTCTCCAGGGTCAAGCTGTAGCTCAGCTGTGTTCCACCATTCCCAACGTCACCGTTTTTGGCACAGCCTCTCCCTTCAAACACGAAGCCATTCGACACTCCGTCACTCACCTGTTTGATAGAAACGTCGACTACGTAGCAGAAGTTAGAAAGTAAGGGCTCAACTGGACTAGAACTTAAGTGAACATTTTCTGTGGTCTCCTGATAACTAAGTTTATGTTATGCACTGTCATTGCATGAAGTAGCTACAACCTGATTTTTTCTAAAAAAGTTGAAATGCTGTTCAAAATGTAAAGAAAACCACTGTCTGTGAACACAGTTCATTACTGCGTCCACAGACGCAAGTTAATATACATGTTTTGGCAACATATGCTGCCATCCAGATGACGTCTTTTTCAGGGGAGGTCTTGCTTATTTTAGCAAGACAATGCAAAACCACATTCTGTCTGTAGAGAAGAGATGATGAAACACAGTGATAAACGTGCCCCCGTCCCAACTTTCTGAGAATGTTTTGCCGGCATCAAATTCAAAATGGGCATATATTTTTCAAAAAACTATCAAATTTCTCAAGTTTCAACATTTGATATGTTGTTTTGTACTATTTTCAATACATGGGGTTTAAATAATTTGCACGTCATTGCATTTTTTATCATGTTTTTTATTTACATTTTGCACAGCGTCCCAACTTTTTTGGAAATGGGGTTGTACTTGGGGACCAGATAAGATGAAACTTTTGTGTCTGATACCAATTTCAAGGAGCTAAACATTGTGATAACCAATAATATTAGCTGATATAATGACATTTGAAAAGACTGTGAACTATGTAGTTCTGAGGGAGCGCATTAGCATTAGTGGTTCTCCCGCTTGGCCGCAAGACGTGTTTTGTTCTGTTATTTATTGTTTTATAGCCTAACTTTGCTATGTTATGCTAGTCAGTAATACCTCTTGCTAACTTGTATAAATGGGAGAAAAAATGACCATTATTTTGCAGACTGAGAGGAATGAGGTTAATTCTCGGGTGGATCAGTGTTCTCTGGCTCTGAATTTAATCCGACCTGCCTAACCTAGCAAGCTAATGGACATGCTGAAGTTGGCTTCCTATTTGCCAGCTTCTTATTCAGATTTTCCCATTCCACCTTAACCCTTGTGTGGTGTTCAGGTCTGTGGGACCCATTTTCAGTGTGTACCAAAAGAAAAAATTGATGTGATTTATTATTATTTTAACCTCAGATTCTTGGCCTTTGCTCATTTTCTGTGAAGAACATATAAAATAACACATTTTCAGGGTCTTCACACTGCTCACCCCCCACACATTTATATTACACATGTGGTGTTGGGTCAACCCACGGGGAATAAAAGTGTGGAGATGCTGTTTCTCTTTACTCTGTTTTCCTCCTACATGGCCTTCTGTTAGTGTGTGTATGTGTGTGTGTGTGTGTGTGTGTATGTGTATGTGTTTGTATATGTGTCTGTGTGTTTGTGAGGATGGACAACATGGACAGGCTGCTGACTGGCTACAGCTGCTAAAGGAGAACCCTACGCTGGCCACTTGTGATATTTTAAACATCTGGTATTTTTACATAAATTGTTATGGCTGTATTCATTTAAAAAAAACAATTATGCAGTGGGACACAGCATTTCAGAGCAGAGAATACTGCTTATTTTTTCACAATTTTGAAACCTAATTTTATATACTTTTTTTCCATCATTCAAATTTGGTTGGATGGTTGATAACACATTTTTCTGTAGTGTGACGAAACTCAGAACACTATTATTACTGCTTTATGTGGACTTTAACACTCCACAGAACATTTTTGATTTTGTCCTTGTGCCAGTCACTCAACTTGACTCTGGGTCCTTATCCTCTAAACTTGCCTCAAAGGAGAATCAGAGAACTGGAATTGCTGGTGGGGTTTGAACCTGTTTTAAATTGCTCACTAAGCTAATGTTTCTGGTGCTAACAAGGACAAATCAGGTATAGGACAAATCAGAATTCAACAGATGCCAAGTTCCAGCCTTTTCAAATGCACAGCCAACGAGGAGAAATTGTCTGTGTCTGTGTGTGAAGATTTTATTGCTGAGTTTACAGCCACCTTTCAATCTAGCCTGCATAAGCCCAAAATGAACATGACGGGGTGAATGCTCTCCTCTGTGTAGATGTGGAGACCCATGGGTTAGCCTCCGTGCTGGCGGTGGATGCCTATTTTGCCTCTAAGGTTGTTTCCTGTGATGAGGTGCTGCACCCTAACCTGTGCTGCCCTAGCAACAATGCAGGCACACAGACAAGCTCATGATCTTGCGGTGCAGTTAGGGAGGCTGACTAATTAATTGTCCCATATGCTGCTCTTCCTACAGAGCAAGCTGCAGAGCATGGGGACTGACACGGCCTTAAAGCAACATCTGAATACAGCCCTTCAGACAGTGGGCCATTCAACTCAATCCGGAGGACGGTTGCTAGCCACCCTTATACACAGTCAGCAGCAGGTTTGGCTAGCACAAACATCTCTTTCTGACTCATACACGGCCACACTTCGGATTCTGCCACTTGTGGCTGGCCATGTTGTTAAGGAGGCTCTAGATCGACAGTCGTCCTCCGCAGAGTCACGCAAACTGGAGAATGCAAAAAAGACATTTTGTTTTTGCCCTCCTGGTCCACACACCATTCCCACCCAGTTGCCTGACTTCCAGAGGACAGACTTGCACTCTGGCTTTCCCCAAACTCCCAAACTTCGCTGCCCAACGCCAGCTGCTTGTCTCCAGCGGCCAACAGTCTGATATGCATCCTGTGATGAAAACCTAAAGGCATCTGTCATTGACGGGGCTCCAGTTAGTGACAAAACTCATGTCCACCCAACACTTGGCATATTGGATGGACTTCGCATCAGACCAGTGGGTTTTTCACCCTATGACAGAGGGGTGCAGGCTACAGTTTTGTCACCAGCGCCCCCTCAATTCTTAGCCAAGGGTCACTGTTGTTTGTGACCTGGCTCATGATCTTAAACTCTCCCAGGAAGTCGGTTTGCTCCTATCCAGAGGCGCTGTAGAAGTTGTTGCCTTACACGTTTAATCAGATGGGTTCTATTCAATTTATTTAGTTGTTCCAAAGAAGGGTGGGGACCATAGTCCAATTCTTGACCTTTGGTAAACAAATACTTGAAAGTTCTTACCTTCCGCATGAGGCACACGGCAGCAGTTATTTGCAGTATCGGAAGAGATGAATGGTTTACATCCCTAGATTTGAAGGTTGCTTACTTCAACATCTATATTGTGCCGGTACACAGATGGTTCCTCCGCTTTGCTTTCCAAAGCAAACAGTGGTATTCCAATTAAGGCCCTGCCCTTTGTCCTTTGCTTCGACTCCGGGGTCTTTTCCAGGTGCATTCAGGGCATGTTGACTGTTGGAGCATGCTCAAGCTTTGGACCTCACTGTAAACTGGGAAAAGAGCTGAGTCCTGCCATCGCAGTCGACCCATTTGACAGGTATGCTTCTCGACTCGTGGTCTATGATAGCATCGTTGCCCTGGGAACAGGCTTGAGTGATCCTGTTATCTGTTCGTTGCCTCAAGCTGGGCTTGTTGGTGTCATATCTGACGCTACTGCAGCTTCAGGGCTTAGTCCACATCCGTCCTTTCCAGATGTGGCTGAAAAACCTTGGGCTAGACCTGGGGCATCAAAGATGAGTGAGAGTGTGCATCTCCTCAGAGTGTCTGTCAGCCCTCAGACCGTGGCACTCGAGTGTGTTCCTGTCTACTGCCGATTCTTTCATGAACGGAGGCGGTGACGACAGATGCTGTCTGGCTACACAGATGGGTGCAAGGTGGATAGTCCAGACAAGATGCCTGGCAACATATCGCCTTTCTCGATTTGCGGGCAGTCTGTGAAGTTTTAGAATATTTTCTCCCAGCCCTGCAAGGGAAACATGTTCTTGTCCACTCAGACAACCTGCCTGAAGTCTATCACATAAACCACTATGGTGGCACTACAGTGCTAAACCTCGCATTACACCTGTAGACAAGGACTCACCCTGGTTTTCTCTCCGTGAGAGCAGCACGCCGAGCAGGCAGATGCCCTGTCATGCTTTGAACCCCAGCAACTAGAAATTGTGTCCGGATGTGGTAATGTTGATTTGGCAGCTGTTTGGGGAGGCACGGATGGAACTGTTCGCCTCATCGTCCAAGCCCCACTGAAGACACACGGGGCTAATCAAAAGTGCCTGTAGCTCACATACGTGCTTAGCTCTGAGAACCTGTCACCGCTACAGCTGGGCAGAATGCTTATTTGCATGCTTCTCTGAGTCGAGACAATGTTTGTCGCTTTCTAAGCAGCAGCTCTCCCACTGGCTAGTGGACGTGATCAAGCTGGCATATGAGGTTGCTGGCTAATCCTTGCCTGCACCAGTTGGTGGAAATTCTGTTAGGAGCATAGCAGTATTCAGGGTTACCCTGAATGATGTCTCTCTGGGGGATATCTGCAGAAGCCACATGGTTGTTGCTGTGCACTGTCTCCCACTTTTACAATGTCAACGTTGCTGCATCAACTGGCCTAGTACTTGCAGTTCTGTCCCTGGCTACGGGCTGCAGTTGAGGCATTCCTTGTGACGTTGTGGGTACCCAAGTTATCCACTTGGTAAGAACCTCCCTGGCAGTCAGAAGATATGAAACATAACGCTAGTAGTGTACGTAACTGTGTTCGTGTGAGTAGTACATGACTGCCAAGGTCACTGGTCACAGTCTGCGAGGAACGACCATGTTCCAGGGAGAAAGATTGCAGTGTGACTTGAGAATATTGAGTCATGAGGTGACAGTACTTTCAGGGTCTGCAGCTGGCATAGCTAGAGAACCATCCACTTGGGAAGAACCACCCTGGCAGTCATCCACTACTCACTTTACCACAGTTACATAGTAGCGTTATTCTTTTGTCATATAATCATGAATGTGCAACAGCCACACATTTCATTGCAAGGTTTAATTAAAAAGCAATTGCTTTATAAAGGTGTTTTCCCACTGGACATTCAAAAACAACAACTGACCCAAACATGAGCCAACTGAACATTCGGTTCTAGTTCTAGTCCTAGATCATTTCCCAACTGCTTAGGAGACAGGTGGAACTGTTTTTTCTGGACTTTTTTTTGGTCTTTTGGTCACTCTAAAGCAGGAGTGCACAGCTCTGGTCCTGGTTCTAGTTATTGTTGTTACCAAACAATTACTAAATTGTGCTGCACTTGCAAAATTCTCTGTCAAGTGTGAAATTATGAGCAAAAATACTCTATTCTGTGGCCATAAATGCGAATAGTGTTAGTTTCTTATGCCATCTTATGTTAAACTCTCCACAAAGTAATAATTCTCAAAATAGCAATCAACATAATGTCCTAGTTTACATTCAGGTGCTTTTATTGGTTGTGTGGTAATGCTTAAGAACTTCACCTAGGAGAGTGAAGTATTGGCTTTGTCTTTTATATTTATAGTTATTGTAAATTGTGCTCTAAGCTACTTCAATGCTGACTGGATGCAAGTTGTCCACCCTGAAGTATAGCAAACTGTTATGTTCACAAGCAGTTCGATTCAGTCTATGAAGAGAATGGATTATTTAGATGGTGGAAACGACCCGTGACATAAGGAGGGCAAACAACTAAAAACTAAATTTAGTAAGTGAAGTTAGTACTACCTTGCTAACTTGAAACCTCGCCTCAGTTTGGTGTCTTTTCTCTGGCTGAAAGAGTAAAAAAAGCTTCTTTCTGGTGTCCATTTTTTTGCTGAATAAAGCTGTTTTCTTTACAATTTTGTTCAACAACTGAGGTAAGACTAAAAGTAATGATAGCTTGGTTGAATTTACAAGCCTATTCAGTGGCTAGACTAGCAGTCAGGATTAGTTGACACCACAGGGATTCTACAGGTTGTGTGATGTTTTTGCGTAATGCAGGATGGGTAATGTAATGAGGGAACAGTGATGAACAAAAACATGACAATCATATATATAATTTTGAGCTGTACTGAAGAATATTGCACAATATGACTGAAAAACATATTAAACACTAATTTTAGGCAGGAATGCCACTTTCACTAACTCTTATTTTTCGTTTAAATTATATTATCATTTATTTAACTTATTGTCATGCAGTGTTATTGTGTTATAACATGTTATCTTCTTGCCAAAGGTGAGGTTTGGGTGTATTTTACATGTTTTTGTTATTTTAACCAGGTGTTTTGTGTTCAGATTTACTTGTGAATTGCTGTAATAGAAGTTAGCAGCTTTACAATGTCTGTAAAGATTAACATAGAATATGAAACCGTTAAGGTATGGAAAACACGTTGGTGCTTTGTCAGAAGAAGTTTTGCCATTACCGATAAATCCATGGTGCTTCAGTATCGGCAGATACATTGGTCAGGGCTCTGTTGCTGTTCCTGTAGTTACTGCATGTGCCGTAACAACAGAAACAAAGTAGAACATTTCCGTTCCTTTGTTTTTTTTTCCCATCGTAAGAATTCAGATGGGGCTGTGCAGGTTTTGCTCTGGGCTGGTACTGTAAGAGGTGGTCAGTTCATGCGGGAATGGAGCTATTGGATGATGAGGATATGATAATGTGAGTCATGCTTGGAGGCCAGTGCTGGTCTGAGGAGGCAGAGACGTCACCAGTTACCTTCTCTGAAACTGTGCGGCTACGGTCCCCATGGCAACACTCCGCTCGGCTGCGAAACTAGTGGCTTAATGTGAGGAGGGGCACCAGAAGGCTCTCTCGAGCACACACACACACACACACACAGACTGGAGGGCTGGAGATGCGGAGCGGCTGGCCCACAGCGGACTTCCCCTAGACATCACTTAATGTGATTTCACATTGGAGGAGAAAATCATTATGTGGGATAGGTCATTAGAAAACACTGCAGTCTTGATGTATCTTGAGTTGAATAGTCCTACATTTCTTATTAACAGTACGTACTGCACTGCCAGTGGCACTTAGCTAGTTGTACAGTTGAAATATCTCTGCAGTTCTCCTTTCGTCACGTTTTTTTTTCCTGATCCGAGTGGTAGACAACAGCTCTGGTATGATTTCACCCAGCGATAGTGCTTCTTACAATTAATATTAAAACCCTGAGATACGTGCTAAGCTTGGGTAGGTCTAAAGTGCTGATTGATACAGCCCAAATGCAGCCCGGGTGCATATTAGAGTGCTAATAAATCGAAGTAAAATGAGTAGGAGAGGGGAGATTAATACTCCTTTCATCTCCATGGCCCCACATTCCTCTCAGGATCAGGAGAAAAGCAAAATTAAATTGCTCTCAAGTCAGTCCTTTTACACTAGTGACTCTGGGCATCACAAGACCTCTATGCAGGCGGTCTGAGCAGCAAACAGAAAAGAAGGCATTAGGACCACTTCATCTTAATGACATGGTTCTCATTCTTTTTCAGTTCTTCTTGTTTGCGCGGCACTCCATTGAAAACACACTCAGCATTAATCATGCGCTGTTTCTGATTCTTATGTGCTTTGTTGGAGCCGTAAATGGGTCCACATGAGTGAGAACTCATTTTCACTCGGCGAAAAACAAAGCTGGCAGAGACGGTACATAAAATTATTGTATAAGTAAGTGGAAGCAGTTTGGGTTAGAAGTGTATGTGTTGAGAATACCGACATGTTGCTTGGCTCATAATAATATAGGCTAATTTTGAGCTGTCAGGGAAAATACCTCAAGTAAAGAACTGATATTTAGTGACTTGTTTTGTATTGCAGCTGACAAACACCTCTGATGTAAAGATACCCGGTAACTTCTGAGGATTTAACAGTTTCATGTTAATTTTAAGTAGAAATTATGAAGCTAACCTAGACTTGTTTCCGAGTGTCACTTTGCACCTTGGAACTAGTTAAAGTTAAAGGGGTAGTGGTGGAAATTTTCCTTTATGAAACAGGACAACCCTCAAATAAAAAAGAACATTAATTCATTAACAAGCTATAAGTGCTGCTGTGTAGGCGACCCTGACAGTCTGCAGTGATAGCAGAGGAGGGTAAAGTTCAGCAACCTCACTGCTGGGCTTTAGTTACATTTAGGGCGTCATATGCCTTCAAAGAAGGGGGTACGACAGTTGTTTATTATCTCTCACCCCTAATTCTTCAGTGATATGAAGTCGACGTCAGCTATCTGCCAGCTTTTTGTTCAAGTTTTCCTGTTCCATCTTAAATGGAGCAGCAGTTACATTCTGGCGTCTCAGGCGCCAGAACTGCTGCACCATTTAAGGTGGAACAGGAAAACTAGCTACTGAGACAAACAGATACTACTAACGATTTTTGATGCTTGTTATGAAGAAAAGAACCATAATACATTGAAAGGAAAGTAAACTAAGATAATAAAATGGTTATCATAATTTTTAACAGAGAAAATTCTCACATTTGTGGGTTTGTTTGGTTGCTCGCGCAGCCGTCTAGCCAGGTTTTCTTTTTTTTTTCATATCACTCCATTTGGAGTGTGTCTCTGAAAAACCTCCGTTTGGAAGGTCATGTAGCCCTAACACTTTGCCCTACTCCTCTGTCTCAACAAAAATCAGGACACCCTACTCCTAAATGTGAACGGAGGGCTAAGGGCTAAGTGGTAGGGGCGAGGGGTGAAATGGGATTAAGCGTTAGACTTCATCAGTGCTTGCTAACATCTATTAAAGCTATAGGGGTGTTGTCTGTATTACTTGTCAGTTAATAGTTGACACCCAGCAATCATTTCAGTCAGTAAATCTCATAGTTTTTTGTTTTTTGCCTTATTTTCTTACTGTAATAGACAGTTCCACTTGCCGGCCAGGTCTTTCCCATCACATGATCAGGGATCAACCTTACAATCTCCCGATAAAAGAGCCAACACTTTGATGGCGATTCCATTAGGGAGCCTGTAAAGCGCTGTTTAATAAATTATTTCACACAAGCAGAATTTTTAGTTGCATAAAATTGGTATCAGTCACAAAAATTACAGTTGGTCAGCTTCTACGATTCTACGGGTCCACGGTTTTGGGTAACTGTTGTTACCCACAATAATGGCTAACAGCATCTCTCATCTATTGTAGGATCTCTCCAGAAGGAGTGGACATTGTTCTGGATTGTCTGTGTGGAGAGAACACAGGGAAAGGCCTGGGTCTATTGAAGCCCCTGGGCACCTACATCCTCTACGGTTGGTCATTTTCCTTTATGTATGATGGTACCTCTTTGAAAGTGTTGCATGATGGCAGTGCTGTTCTTTTTATATAGCCATAAATGGTATTGATGAATTACATTTAGCATTAATAGATTATAAAGAGAACACTGACATTTTTAGTTCCAGGAATATAAAATGATCCATTAGTCAAGTCTGAATATGACAAAATGACATGGTGTCAAAGTTGGTGAATAAAGGAAGATCTTAATGCAAATGGGTTTTCTCCTGATAGCACACGTTACTGAGAGTGAATTTATGACCCCTTGGCCCTCATTTGAGATCAGTCACGTGTAGCACTTAAGGACAGAATTGGGGTTAATACACATTAAAGCCTGGCAGAGCAATTCATGCATTAATAACTTGTAATGCCTTGGTTTTAGTTCTAGGCAGCATTTTTAATTGAGGAGGAATCCTCTGGGGCTGAGATAAGGTATAATTTGAGTTCAGCCACATATGGCTGCAAAATGAATCAATCATTGTAACATATGTTTAAGCCCATTAATAAGAGGCTGGGTATTGATTCGATGTTATAATTCTGGACTGCACACAGTAGTTCAGTTTGTGATATGTAATGTGTTTTGCTTTTTCATTAAAGCCTTTGTATAAAAAGCTGAAACTTTGTTATCAAACATGCTTATAGGTTCATCAAACATGGTGACGGGAGAGACCAAAAGTTTCTTCAGCTTGGCCAAATCTGTAAGCAGTGCAGTCTGTCATTGTTCAATTGTGCTGGCCAATTACCTTAAGACCATACGTCAGTTCTCAGTGGCCTTTTTTAAACGGAACCACTTCAGTTGGTCTCTACTGTTCAGATGCTTTGTAGTCAGTTTGTCTCTTCATCTCCAGTGGTGGCAGGTGGAGAAGGTTAATCCCATCAAACTCTATGAAGAAAACAAAGTCATGGCTGGATTCTCGCTGCTCAACCTCCTCTTCAAACAGGGGGGCTGCAGCCAAGTGAAGACTGCTGTACAGAAGCTACTTTCGCTCTACAGTGAGAAGAAGATCAAACCTATAGTGGATTCTCTGTGGGCTCTGGAGGAGGTAAGAGATCTGGGTGACAACCGCCATTACTTATGTTCAGACAATTTTAAATTTAAAAGTAATGACACCATACAGATGTCCTCTATTCTCTAATGCCACATGAATACAGTGCTCTACGCTGTGTTAGTTACGGTAAGCGATGGAATTGGTCAATCCCAGTGGGCATACTTACTGTTCACATGTTAAATTACATTTTTGTTCATGTGTTAAATCAGTCGCCAGTGACCGCCCAAATTTGAATTAGTGATATGGCATTTTCTGAATTTGCAAGTTCCAAAGGCTACCCGAAATTGGGTAAATTGGGTGCTAGGATGGCCAAAACTACTGAAATTTTATATTATTATTGGCTTTTCCAGTGCATGGAAGTTTGTATGTACATGAACTGGTGTCTATCAGTCCAAAGGGAAACAAACAGAAGTCTTTAAAATTGATTTTGCTTAAAGAAGTTAGCAAGTAAATGAGACATCCTTATGTGTTTGTAGCTGGGCATGCTGCTTTGTTTCATTTGTGTCTATTTTTCTTGTATCTCTGTTTTAATTATTGTTTTTTAATCTGTCCCTACCCATCATGCACCAAAACGGCTTGTGGCCGGTCGTTTTGAATGTCAGTCAAATAGTGACTTCCTGTCAAAGTAGGCACTTCTTGGTCATGTTGAGTGACGGAACTCACTAGATGCTTTAACCTGTAGATGATAGCCTGAAATGTGGCTTATGACGCTAGAGGACAGGCAGCTAAGAATAGTTCTTTGTTCTTTCAGGATATGGTTTTCCTCCAGGTGTGTTCAAACAGCACTCATAAACTCATAAATTTACAACTTTACCACAAGGAAGTTTCACTTGAACGGCTGTCAAAGTGGCAAAGTTGCCTTGACCAAACCAAACCCAAAAAATTACTAGTTATGATTTGATGGTATGACAATTTTCCAGCTTTACGAGCTGACAGCTTCACTCAGAGCTAAGAGACATGCGGCCCGGAAGCCCACCTGTTGTCAGCGGAAAGGTGGGCAGTGAAGGTATTTATTAAGAGGAAGTGGCATTGCAGAGCTTTCAGGCTCATCTGTTGCTCGGTGCAATCAGGATCTGTCACCGGAGGCTCTCCTTGTCCAGTGACAGGTGGGCTGTCCAGCCCTGTTCCCTCTACCTCTTTGATAAATGCTGTTTATGTTATTTCCCTCCTACGCACTCTCTAGCCAGCCAGCCAGCCCTCCATCATTCTCTCTTAAGGCTAACAGACCCACACAGGCTGCGAAACAGTAGTCCAGGACCAATTATGTGTTAAAGAACTGGCTGTGTGTCATTTGTTGTTTTTGCATTCTGCCATTTGTCAGCTGTATATGGGCAATATAGCTTTGATGTCAGCACAGACTGATTGTTGTGAGGTTTAATTTAGTCAGAAGCGCTGCATAATATGTCATTTTTTAATCAATATCATGATACTGACCTTTGCAATACTGATATCACAGAAGACAGAAATTTGCAAATGAATTCTCTGACCTACTGGTTCTCAAAAATTTAGGTAAATATATGCTGTTACATTTATTTGATCAGAATAAGCACTTTTCCAGTTATGTGTGGCTTTTTGCTTTTATTAGTCTGCTAAGCTGCTAAATAAGATGCCTTTCTCTGAGGTTGTGGCCAGACTCACCATTTGTTATATATTCCTCATTCTTGGGTTTGAAAAATTCTTTTGGATTCTTGATGTAATCTGGATGTTTTGTATCTGAATGTTTGTCCAGCTTGGCTGGCATTGTGCCCTTGTTTGCTAGTACCTTGAGACAGATAACACTTGATCTTGATCTACTGTCACTAATAAAACCAGACAGTTGTAGTAAAGTACCTTTGTTTTGGCTGCAAAATGTGGCGCAAGAGATCATCCCATCATGTTGCTTAAGAAAATAATAAAATTGCAGCCCACCTGGTTATAGAGAACTGTGCAAAAGCCAGGGACTGCCATTAATGTCAGTCAAAAGTACTATTAAGTATGTTTTCAGTTACAGAAAATAACAGCAAAATGTAATATTTTTTCAGAAGACTTTCAGTTTTTCAAAAAAATCTGCAGGGGTATTTTTCCATACAAAGTTCAGTCTTAGAAGTTGGTTGCATTTTCTGCTTCTCATGATCCAAATAATCCCAAACACATTCAGTGATGTTGAGATCTGGACCAGCAGCATCTTTGTTTAGTTTGCAAATGTTTGTCTGTTCACTTATTTTTCTTGTCTTTTCCCTTCTTTATGCAAGTGGAATTATCTTATCTTATCTAATCTTCAGAAATTAGAAATTCAGAAATTCCCCTGAAAAATGAATAACTTGTAATTAATGGCCTTCTTGACCAGAGGTTAAATAAATGAAAGGTGGTCTTCAAGCACAGTGTTATACACAATGTGTGCTTTGAGCATCTTGACCAGTCACAGTTCCAGGTCGGTGTTTTTCAATGATGAATTTGATGCTTTAGATGTTTTTCTCAGTATTCCCAGTCTGTTTTTACTGCAATGATGTCAGATGTAGTTCTTTTCAGATAGTCCCAACCTTTTTCTGTTTGACCTGTCCAGTTAACTTATGCTATGTGTTAGGTAATGATTCACTTTGTGTTTTCGTCTGGCGTTCACACATGCCCTCAGCAGCTCTTCGCTGTTTCCTCACAGCCGGCCGGACGCACCGCAGATATCCTTCTGCTTTATTGAATCAACTGTGAATGTATGTGTGAGAGTGTTGAGGACGTGAGTGCCGGGCTGTCAGCTGCCTACTGAAAAAACACTCCGTTGAATTTGGTTTCTTTTTGTATGCAGCATTTCGACAGACAGCTGCTGCCGACACAGGCCTCACTTTTCTTCTTTATGTTTCTTTTCTATGTGTTCTGCTGAAGATACTGTCAGAGCCTCTGTCTGAGCAGCAAGAGATGACTGAAGTAGAGAGTTTTTACCTGTATGTGTGTAGTCAGTGCTGGAGAATGTTCCTTGCCAGTGATCATAGTGTTCCTTTGTAGCTTTGGAAAGGGATGTGCAGTCTTTGAGTGAAAGGTGTTAGAAGGTAGTTTATTGTGTGGCAACTGGAAAAGATGCTAGCCCTCAACCTAACGGCTTGAAACCTGTGTGGAGAGCTAGTGGGTAAAATTGGCAACAACAAAATTGAAGACAAAACCTGGGGGAAAAAAAATCTAAAGCGCACATATATTAGAATCCAAAACTGTTGATTGGCAGCCGGGCACCCTCAAAGGGCAGATTTTGCCCCTTTTCTGGAGCAGTGTGCCACTAGAATCATGTACAAAATAAACTCCAATGACGTCTTTCATTCACAAAACCCAAAAACTCAACACAGAAAAAAACAAATCATTCAGCTTTGCTGGCCACAAATAAAGGCTGCGTTCACATTACAAGCCTAATCTCTCAAATCCGACTTTTTGTTCAGATCACATCTATCTGACATGATGGTTCACACTTGTTTAGGTAAGTAAATCTGTCATTAATGTGAATAAACCAGTGTCCTTAAATGACCCGCATGTGCACATCCTACTCAGTAACGTTATGTGAATGAATGTCCATCAACAGTTAATAATGCTATTAATGCTCTTCACATTGCATAATTAACTGCACTAATGTACCATTTTCCTTTTGTTTTTTCTGGTTTACAGAGCTTGATTTGGTCACAAACAATTTTAAATTAAAATTCTAACAGTAATACCTTATATTGGTGTAATACTTGAGGAGAAGTGAGTGTGAAAAAAGCTGAATACCATCCATCCTTTGTTACTGAATAATTGTTAGTATTTACAGGATAATAAACTTAATTACTTAAGGGTTTATCTAAGAGTTTAGGGGTTGAATATTTTGTGATGTGGTACATATTGGAAAAGGCCTCGTATGAGATCCTCAGTCTGCACAGTCAAATGAACATCACATTACAACATGTTTCACTTTGACAGCTGCGCAAAATCTGTCACAACTCTGTTATGGGCTTTATTGACTCAGAGGCTTTTACACTGTTTACACATTGCGTCAGTAAATGCCCGAGACTGCCTGAAACACTGACTGGATATCGTTCAAGCTTAGAGGGGGGAGATATACTGTGTTTGCCTTACGATAAGGTAACTAGCTTTTGGATGTGTTAGTGTATAACCAGAGTAAGCAAAATGTCACCCTCAGATTTTGGGTTTTGTTTTCATGTTAATTCTTAATCTAATAAAGTGTTTTACAGTAAGACAAGACACTGTATAGGAACTCCAAAAACTGTGGTAAAATCCAACATTAGTTGCTCTTAATCACTGTAATTCTTATAAATCCTTTAAGATCAAGTTAGTTTTTCACACCCTCAGCCTGAGATACACACAGACAATGTATTTGGAGCCAAACTCCAAACTGTAACATTCAATATGTTACTTGAATATCTGTTATGAGCTTCGAGTGTCTTTAATTAATCCTTGTAACTCTTCTTTTTCTATTTTTCACATCATTTGAGAACATAATCTGCCCTTTACAGTGTAATATTTTGTGGTGATTGAACGCAGCCCAATTAACATAGCTTAAAAGAGGCAAATGCATTTTCCTTGCTTGTTCACATGTATGTTACTAGTTACTGTATCTGCCTTCTGAGAAATTGTAAAATGTGAAATCGCTGCTGTTTTAGCCTATTACCCTTACGGAAAGCATATGATTCCACAGGCTGTTAGGATTTGCTGCTTGATGCTGCACCACTACGAGTAAACCTCCCACCTCACTTGAATAACCACGCCCCCTGCACCTAGCCTTCATACTTTCACCATCACAGCTGCTGTTTCCCATACAGATGTTCTGATGAGCAGGAGAAACAGTGATGTAATTTCACATATGGGAAGCGCTACATATAATAGTGACTGTTTCAGCAGACTCTTTTCTGTTGCTGTGAACTTCAAGGCTATAGGGACCATATTCTGTCCTCACTAGAGTAAGTTGGGCATATAGCTAACAGGGTAAAAGGCTCCAATAATATTCAGAGACAGGCTTTTAAATCTTTACCTGAAAGAGCCAG